TGAAATGTTTCATAAACATCTAAATTTTACTAAAAATGCAAGGTTAACCCCTTACAAGCTGCAATTTTCCAGAAACATCTGATTTTTCCCAATTTTGCTAAAATGTAGGGTTAACCCCTTGCAAACTGTTAAATCAATACATGAAGTGTCCCATTTGACTTTTTTAAAACAAATTATTTTTCCAGTTTTTTGGGTAAAGGAATTTTCTCTTTTTCCTTTCTCTTTTGTTGTTGCTATATTTTGCGAATTAACTCATTCGTATGGAATGCTCATAGTTAATCAAAGAATATTTCACACATAGGGGCCTAAATTTTATTTTTTTTAAATTTAATAGAGACGCATTGATCGTGCTATCATATACCATTCTATTACTATTGCGAATTACTGTATTGTTGGAATGCTCACAATTACAGACACGTTTTTTGAAAGATGTATAAATAATATTTATATTACAATGTACATCTTTATTCTTTCCCGGTATAATTTATGGCGTTTCTTACGTCAATTGGCAATCGCGTCATTATATAATGATAGTCAAATTGATCAAACGAAACTCCGTTTTGATTATAGTCAATTATGAAATATTCATTGATTTATGACATACACCTTTGTTTCAATTTTGATACTACCCGTAGACCTGCCGAGCAGCTGTAGATATCAAACTAAACCAAAGTATAAAAGATAGAGGGTAAAAAAAAATCAAAAAGTTATGTGCTAGTCAAGCTTTCAGGGATCGGTCTGAGCCATAACAATGCCCCAGCCGATCCCTTAGTTCTCTTCCGGGGTCTCGGCGTCCCCGACCAATACACACTTCCTTCCCTATCCATCCATATAACCCCGGAGGGCCAGGCACCATGTAAAAGCAAAGAGCTAAGGGAGGAACAGGGCGGCCCCTAAGCCCTGATCCTCCGAGTGGACCACATGCCCTGAACCTGTACAACCTGGAACTCGCGGACAGTACCAGCAGCAGTGCTTACCGATTAAGCTAAGGTACTGTTGGTACTTTACGACGGGAAATTACATCTCTTATAGTGAATAATTGAACTCATTCGTTAAAAACCAAAAAGACACCAGCGGGATTCGAACCCGGGACCCCGCTATAAACCGTGGACGACGAATCGTAACCACTCGGCCATTTCGTTACCTTAGAATTTTCCTTAAACTGAGAAAAGTTGTCTTTATAGTTGAGCAAACGCGCCAGGAAGATTACTGGGTCCATTTGCTTTAGGCTACCTTAATGCGTAAAAACAAGTCGATATAATGAGCCCAGTGTGTTTGGTTTGTTAGGAAGCTGCATAACACAGCCTAATGTGCAAAACAGTCGTGTGCTAGGCGGATCATTACGCAACAATGAACACCGCAATTGTGTATTTTCAAAAGGCAGACGCGTAGATTTCTACTCTTTGTATCTGGGCACATATAGATTCTCACCTCCCTCTTCAGCTATTTCGACTCTCTTAAAAAGAAAAATAGAGACTGTCAGCGAATCTCCGGGAGTTGAAATAAGGATCGTCCCCTCGATAGACCTCAGACTCAGTAAAGTTCAACATTGGGCTCTTTTTCAACAGCTGTTTTTGTGGAAACTTTACATCTGGATTTTTTAGAAGCATCTGATTTTGCCCAATTTTAGTAAAATATGCTCCAAATTTTGCTAAAAAAGCAAGGTTAACCCCTTACCATTTTAGATTTTTCATACAAATCTGATTTTGCCAAATTTTTACTAAATATACAAGGTACACCTCTTACAATTTAAAATTTTTCATAAACATTTCTTTTTGCCCAATTTGCTAGATATACAGGGTTAAGCCCTAACAATCTGCAATTTTCCAGAATCATCTGATTGTGTCCTATTTTGCTTTTAAAAAATGCAAGGTTAACCCCTTACAATTTGAATTTTTTTCATGAACATCTAATTTTTCCCAATCGTATTTAAAAAGCAAGGTTAACCCCTTACAATCTGCAATTTTCCAGAAACATAAGATTTTTTCCCCAATTTCGCTTAAAAAATTCAAGGAATTAACCCCTTATAATTTGAAATTTTTCATAAACATTTAACTTTGCCAAATTTCAATAAAAAAGCAAGGATATTCCCTTACATCTGAAATTTTTCGGAAACATCTGATTTTGCCCAATTTCGCTAAAATATGCAATGTTCACCTCTTACAATTTTGAAATGTTTCATAAACATCTAACCCCATACAATCTGCAATTTTCCAGAAACATCTGATTTTTCCCGATTTTGCTAAAAAAATGCAAGGTTAACCCCTTACAATTTGATTTTTTTTCATAAACATCTAATTTTGCCCAATTTTACATCAGCTTATGCTAACAAATTATCAGGTAACTGGATCATTAAACGGGACAGGCGCACATCGGCCTTGGAGCTCAGACCATGTGTCATGCACTCCTCAATGCATAGATGATGCACATAACACTATGGGTAGTACAGGCACAGCTGGGGGTACTGCCCAAACAATGATGAACGCATTGCGTATGCTTAAAGAATTACCCACAATTCCGGTTTTTACCGTTTAGGTCTGGCTCTAATCACTTTACGCGATCCCCGGACGTCTCATACACTGACTTTAGGCAAAATAGTCAGACTTTCGCGGTCTAGTAACCAGACTTTGACTCTTAACGAAACATCGAATGAAAAGCCCTCACAGCGTGTTGCCTTTGACGCCTCTGCTTCAACAGCTCCTTCATATAATTATGTTTCTTTGGGAAACATCAAATGCATATTGCAAAAGATCGAATGCAAACATACCGATGAAACATCGAATACAAATATATCGAAATGTCAAACATATGTGTAAAACATTGCTCACATATTTGAGAATATCGCAAATATATTGTAAAACAACACACACAATTTTATCGAAAAACATCGCACATTTAATGCAAAAAATCGAACATAATATTGAAAACATCGCACATATACATGTATATCGTCAAAAACATCGCACATATAAATTAAAAATCGCATATAAATGTAAAACATCGCACACATATATTGAACATCGCACATATATTGTAAAACATCGAACAAATATATTAAACATCGTGCAAATAATGAAAAACATCGCACACTTATATTGAACATCGCACATAAATGTAAAAGATAACAAACACATATTGAACATCCAACATATATATTGCAAAATATTGAATATTGCAACGTTTGAAACGCCATAGGCGGTGTGGCAAGTAATTCTGTCCCCCCCCTCCCCCCCCCCCCCCCTCTGGTAAATGTGTCCCCCCGGACAAATTTACCGGTTTGTGACCCGGTAAATCTGTCCGGGGGGGACACATTTACCTAGGTAGATCTGTCCCCCTCCCTGGTAAATATGTCCCCCTGCCCAACGTTGAAAGTGTCCCCCTGGTAAATGTGTCCCCGTGCAAGTATTACCCATGCGATGATACGAGTCGTGTTCGTGAGCGCGCATCGCCGCAAGTACATGCTGCAAGATTTGTGGCAGCGTATATCGCATATGTGTACATAATGTGTATCCCGCTACACAAAGGAAATTCATCCAATAGGAAATTTCGTTATGCGCTACGATGGGAACGCAGACCAATCCAAGTAGGCGTTTTATCAATGAGGCGTCCACCGTAGAATAGGGCAACACCGTACTCCGAATCGATCGAAACATTGTGTTCACATTTCACATCTAAGAAAGAGACCAAAAATTTAATTTTTTCATCTTCATGAAGGGCAGACTAAAGAGTAAAAAATGTATACCTTGTAGAGTGAATTCATGAAAACAATATAGAGAACTGGCCTTCTGCGTTGCAAAACTAGGGGGACAAAAAAAACCTGGAGGGGACAGAATTACCTGAAGGGGGACAGAATTAACGGGCCGGGGAGGACACTTTTACCTAGGTAATTCTGTCCCCCGGACACTTTTAACGGGGGACAGAATTACCGTCCACACCGGCGCACGTGGGAAGGAGGGGGGGGGGGGCACTGGAGTTATGGATGATGGGATTATTGACCTCAAACAAGATTATGAGACTGCACTAGAATTAACTGATCTGAACTGTAATTGGATTGGATCGCGCTGATCTTATAAGGTTACGTTACCATTCCCTGTACCTGTTTGCCAAAGGCTACTGGCAAATCAGTAGTATATCACATCACGTTTACGTACGGAGCTCTCAACTCGATAGAAACCCGGTGTGATGAAGATTTTTGCGCAACATTAAAATTATAACGATGTAGTCTTATCATGTGTGACGTCACATCATATTAAAACTGACTTTCGCTTATTTTCGACGTCGTGACGTCAACATTTTAAAAATATACTACATGCAAGCAGGTTAGATGTACAACAAACGGCGGCCGCCCGAACCCTGCAACCTAGTCGCCCAAGGGCGTTTGTGGTGCTACTGCTGATATGAAAAGCAGAAAAAAGTAGAACTTCTGCTAATGTTATACGTTTGTTTATATATACCTTTGGTGCGGCAGTTTTTTTTAATGGAGAATTGAAAGCCGTGGCCGCCTTTCGGCCGCCTGGCTAAAATAGGGCGGCTTTTACTTTTAGCCGCAGCCAGAGAAAAGCAGATGTCCACTTTCATCAGCCATCCAGCAAAGGAGGAAACTAAAATCTGCTTTCCGGTAATAAAGAAGAGAAGACGTGACAGCTAGGTACTGAGGCAGAAAATTTAAAGTAGATTTCACCAAAATGTACATTCTGCTTAGTTTGTTCATAGGGCCTCATAGGCCTACAAGCAGAAAGGCATGGAACTTAGAAATGGAAGGAGAATGGAATAAGTGGCCTATTATTAAGTCACCATCTCATGGTCTCGATCTCTATTTTTGTTTTATTTTAATTTTTAATTTAATTTATTTAATGCGGGATAAACATTACATTTTTCCATGAAACTACTGATTTATTCATGAAATTGCTTCGCCCGTACCGTACCCGCCTACTCGGAAAACATAAATTCGAGTGGTCATGGTGGTATATTGTTGACAAAAGAGGGCGCTATACCCTAAATGATAAGTTGGTTTATTAAAATCGCAAAGTTGGGTTATTAAATATCGCAATCGATCGCATACGGTTTCAGTCATCCTGGCGTCAAGTATCGATAGCATTTCTTATATTATAAACCAATGCTTCGTCTACACGTTTTGTACCGTGCTTTGAATCTCTGTGGCAAGCGTCAAGCAATTGAACGGAGGTAGAAATTATTACAAAACCCATGGCCGATGCAATCGCAAGCAATGGCAGTGCAGACTTCGTGGGGGCATGGGGCGGCGGCCGGGGGGATCATTTGGGGGTTGTCAGGTTTGCTAGATTGCATATGCCAATGGAGAAAGTGCAGTCGATTAGGTGTAGCCTTTTAGTGCCACGTATGCTTAGGCCTAGACCCACTATAAACTGGGGCGCTAGAACTCCTTTTTTGACATTTGGGATGTGGTCTGTCAATGTCATGTCTGTCGTACAAGTCCCAAATGTCAAAAAAGGAGTTCTAGCACCCTAGTAAGTGGGTCCAGCTTAAGCTTGTTCTGTTGATTAATGAAGGACCGGTACCCCCCCCCCCAACTTTATTTGAAAACAAATGTTTTGCCCGAAAATTGTGTTTGTTGGGCCTGTTAAAAATTGTGGTTAAATTCAAGAAGCATGTCATTTTGTCATGGATTGTTTTTACATTTAAATTGTAGTGTGATAATGAAACGATGATACTTCTAGAATTTCCACGAAAATTGCTGTTGTAACAGCTGGATAATGGATATATACATCATGATGAGCTAGTTAAGTATATAACTTTAACAAGTCAAACGTCAAGTACATTAAATAGAGAAGGCCTAACTTTGTGTACTCAAAGTAGGCCTAAACTATCAAGTATTGATCATCATAATTGTCCTTTTTTTGGGGGGTTCTCAGTGTGAGACAGCAAATTTCATCATCTGCGACATCGACATCCACCGCCAAAATGACAGTGACGTCGCAAATTGCAAAGCGTTTTGACACCATCATCAAGTCGGCTGAAGACAAGCGGGTCTACCGGGGCCTAGAGTTGACCAATGGCATGACGATACTCCTCATCAGTGACCCCACCTCGGAGAAGGCAGCTGCAGCAATGGACGTTAACATTGGTATGTTTGCAGGAGATTTGGCTGCCTCTGTTTTTATTTTTTATTTTTCAGACAAATCAATACGCCACAGCACAATTTTAAAATCTTGAAATAAGGCCAAAAAAAAAAAGTAGTCGGTCTCTGGTCAGACCGAAGTTCTGGAATTGATGCGGCGACGTGTTTTTTTTTTTTTTGGTGGCTTTTTCAAGCTTGTATTGTACAGACAAGGTGGGTACTATTTTGCTTTTTTGTGTCCTCATTATACATTGGTGTCCTCCATCATTTGCCTTGGTGCCCTTTATCATTTGCCTTGGTGCAATTTCCCCATTCCTTGGTGCTCCTTGGTACAAAAATTTGAGGAGGCGCGGTAATAGAGGGTGCTGTTGTAGCTTCCGTGTTAATTTGAAGGGAAAAAAAAGGTTGACGCGCATGATTAAAATCGACGCGCGCGCTGACCAGAGACCGAGTATTTTTTGGGGGGGCCTAAACTTGCCTTGAATTTGCTTAAGAGTACCCCCGGCCTTCGGCTGAGTTGCAGATGGCACACCTATGCACTACATTGTGATGTGTTCCACTCACGCTAGTGGGATAACTGAATTTATCTGCTTATAACTTTGTTGCTTTTTTCTTCATAGGATCTATGTCAGATCCGTGGGACATACCAGGCCTAGCACATTTCCTTGAGCACATGCTCTTCCTTGGTACAAAGAAGGTGAGTTTCTCCGGGAAAAAAGTCTTGCTTTGACCCTCATAGACAGAGATCACTGTAAAATATATTGCTCAAGAACACAAATAGACATGAACTTCTTGGCCAGATTCTTACTTACATTTAAACAGTGCACAGGAACACTCAAACCAAACCAAAAAAATGATGTTGAAATTTATTTCTTTGAACTTAAATACTTGTGAAATATTGGGTAACAAAATCTGTTAAACCAAATTGACGTAATCTTATTATTGAAACTTCTAAAAAAACATTTCCCCTTTTTTCTTTGTTGTAGTACCCATCAGAAAATGCCTACTCTCAGGTGAGTTTCAATCTCTGAGTTTATCTTTGTTGTACCATACATGTATTTATCATTTAAAAAGTGCCAATAAGCCTCTATACTGATGACATCATACTTTGTTTACATGTGCACTTTCCTATGGAGCCAGTGGGGGCCCACGGTCCACTGAGCGCCATAGGAAAGCACACATGTAAACAAAGCGTGACATCATCAGTACAGAGGCTTATAGACCTAAGACATAATAACATCACGCTTTGTTTACATGAGTGATTTCCTATGGGAGCCAGGTAGGGACGAAATCCACCAAGCTCCCATAGGAAAGTGCACATGTACACAAAACGTGACATCATTATGTCTAAGGTCTACTATTTTTTGTTTAAACTTAAGCGCTGATTTGTTAAGGCTATAAATTTCTCAATTATAGGATTTTTAGCCATATTAAATTGCAGGTAACACATCAATGCTACTTCTTTTATACGTCAAAAATGTTAGAGCCAATCTATTTCCCTGTTTAATTAATGTGAGGATTTTTCAATGGAAAATATGTGAACAGGAAAAGAAATGAATTTTTGTAATTTATTTTTTACAGTTTCTGAACCAGCACGGAGGCTTCGCCAATGCCTACACAAGCCTAGAGCACACCAACTTCTACTTTGATGTGTCGCACGAACACCTCGCTGGAGCTCTCGACAGGTAACGTCAGCGTGGGTTTAGAAGTCGAAGCTTCACGTTAACGGAGAACAAAGTGTTTGTGTTCTTGGGCAACACACTTTACTCCAATTGCTTCTCCCCACCCATGAGTGTAAATGGGTACCTGTGAGGGTACATGGCCAGATTGCGCTTATCTCGAGCTGCTGCAGAAAACAGGTCCCAAGTCTTGAAGAATAGGCGTACTGATTGTGAAATGCTTTGCAGCTTTGGTAGAAAGCGCTACGGAAGTAAAGTCAAGTCTGTCATGAGCCAATGTGGCCCATCAGGCCTGCATTTATCTCCCGGTTTCCTTGGCATGAAACGACTGAGAATATTTCTGTTCCCCCTGGATGGGATGCCAGTCCATCGCAGTTACTTCCCAGCTAACGCCGGTACCCATTTATACTCCTAGGTGGAGAGAGGCAAGTGGGGGCAAAGTGGCTTCCCCAAGGACACAGCATATGACCAGCAGCTGGATTCGAACCTCTGAACCTCTGATCATTAGTCACGGACCCAAACTACATTATAATCAGTGGGGGTGAAGTGGCTTGCCCAAGGACACAACATGTGACCAGCAGCTGGATTCGAACCTCTGAACCTCTGATCATAAGTCACAGACCAAAACTACATTATAATCATTACCTCCCTCCGCCCCAACTTCTTTTTCGTCCCCTACCAGGTTTGCCCAGTTCTTCCTCTCCCCGCTCTTCAACCAAGACTCTCAGGAGCGAGAGGTGAATGCCGTGGACTCGGAGAACGAGAAGAACCTGAAGGCAGATCAGTGGCGACTCTACCAACTGGAGAAGTCCACCGTGGACCCGGAACACCCCTACTGCAAATTCAACACTGGTGAGTGGCAGTTGGAACTGACGAGCCCAAAAACTCTGGAGCAATAACCCTAACCCTGCCAAACACAACACAGAGCATGAGGGGGAAAAGAACAGCACCCGATTTCATCAAACTCTTCGTAACTTACGATGCATCGCAGCGATGCGACGCGTCGTATCTCTACGATGCGTCGCAGGTGCGACGCGTCCTGCGATCCATTTCACGAAACACGTCGTAAGTGCGACGCGTTGTAGGTGTATTTATAGCACAACTCGGTGACTGTTTTATGTATTTATGTATTTAGTCTGATATTCAACAAAGAGTCGTCGGATCTCAGCTCAAAATTTGTTAAAACGTAAAACAAAATGGCGGCCATGCGATGCAATTTTGAAGGAAAACAAACTCTCATTGGACTGTATAGCTACTTTGAAATTTCAATTCTAATATTCCGGTCTAATTCATAATTATTCCATGAATTTTCTATTACAAACTTTTCACACATTGCCTCGGTATTATAATCTCGTTAATGTAATGTTAATGGCATAAAACTGGCTTAGAAATTACTCTTCTTATTTTGCGACGACCACAAGACACGTCTTAACTTGCGACGTGTTTAAAGCCGTTGTCAAGGAACTTACGACGCGTTCAACACATCGCAACTTTCGTGAAATGGAAGATACGACGCGTCGCGAGTTGCGACGTGTTACACGTCGTAACTCGAGTTGCGACGCGTCGCAGCGCTTCGTGAAATCGGGTGCTGGTGCACTAAATTTGATGCAGTCAGCTACCAACACCATGGCCAGCTCTGAAACAATGAGAGCTAAGTACCATTGAACAATGCCACAGTTGTATCCTGCTGCCTGCGGTGACCACAGACTCTGAGGCAGTGTGGCCTTGAGACTTTTCCCCTGATGGATCTTGCTACATTTGGCAGGCTTGTCACTTAGTCAAGTGTTGCATGTTGCTGTGTTTGGCAGGGTTTCTAGATAAAATACCCTGCAGGGTTTGGGTTAAAGGTAATTTGCTTTTGCTGTAATTTTCAGAAGTGAAAGGATTTGGGGGTTAGTATTTCATAGCAAATATTGTCACACTGACCAGTTTATAAAGTTTTGTGTTCATAGCTGCTGGAACAAGCTCGAAATGACCTCGGAAGTTGCGGGCCAACGAATTCGTGTTCATGCATTTACATGTACAGTGAATATTCTCCATGACCCAACAGACTAACATTACTTTAGACAAAAATTATTGTGAGGGTTTAGCGGATCGGGTTTTTTGTGAACATCAACCACTAACATGCTATAAAGTCACAAATGTCGCTTTTGCACAGAATGAAAAGCTTGAAAACTCTGTTGACATTTTTTAAAAGACCTTTTTTATTGCCTTTCTTTTTAAAGTAATGGGAGACTTTTGAGACGTTGGTGGCAGCAAACATACCGGTTCTTGTTCCATTGTTTGCGTCATATTGAGCATGCGCGCTTTGGCTTAAACACGACGTAAACAATTGAAAAATGACCGGTATGTTTGCTGCCACCAATGTCTCAAAAGTCTCCCATTGTTTTATTCTCATTCAGTTCTGAAAAATCAGGCATGATTGTAGATTTAAAAAAAATAGGGAATTTCAAGAGGTCAACTTTTAAGGCCTTCTGGATTTTTTTGGATGCAGGAAACAAAGAGACACTCCTGACCATTCCATCTCAGAAAGGCATCGACGTCAGACAGGAGCTTCTCAAGTTCCATGATTCCTTCTACTCCTCCAACATCATGGGGCTAGCCATCTTAGGAAGAGGTCAGTAACACAGCAGACACTTGGATTTTGTACATTTTCACTTAATGTTGGGTTACCCATGCCCATCAACTATTGTATTGCAAGAAAAAGAGCAACTTAGAAAAGGAATCTATTTTATCGGGATGTAACTTGAAAATGGCACGGGAATGCAACTTTAACCCTTACCTTCCCAAATCCTCCAAAATGCTCTTTGCAAAATAGATGATTTGCAGGATTGAGGCTAAATGACAATATTTTGTGGCTGATTTTGGAGGATGCACTGTGTTGAGGTCTTGGGCCGGACCTTATGTTGCTTATGCTCAGCCGTGCATACATATTTAGGCCTAGATTATACTTGAAATCCTCCACACCGCTCCAGGATGTCACTGGCTCTGCCTCAACATATTGACAGTGATTGCCGGAGGATTTTGCAGGATTGAGGCAGTGGTCACCCCTCCAAGGACCACATTCAAGAAATAATGGAGGATTTTGCAGGATTGAGGCTGTATGAAATTTGTACATGGATGCAGTTTTAAGGGTTTTGCATGATTGAGGTTGCGTCCAGCAAAAAGGCCTAGGGAGTTAGGGTCAGTGTAGTTTGTCCCGATCCCAGGCAAACGCAATCCGGCTGCCATGGCGAAAGTGGGGACTATCCATCTGATGAATTAAAATCTAATCTTAGGAAGTTTGGCTGCACTACCCAACAATTTCCAAGCGTACCGCATGCGCACTATATTACAGCTAATGCACCCACGTGAGGTGAGCTCGGGATGTTTTGAGACATTTCCCTGTAAAGATTCCCCATAAAGTTCAGTTTCCCCCTGCAAGTTTTTCTAATTATTTTCAAAAGGAGGGGAACTCTCGTATAACTACACATTTTTCACAGCAGCTCCATTTTCTTGAATGTTGCAGAATCTCTAGATGAACTCACGGATATGGTGGTCCCACTGTTTGCGGAGGTTGAAAACAAGAAGGTCATCCCTCCGGAATGGCAACAGCATCCATTCAGCGAAGACCAACTCAAGGTAAGGCTGTTACTTTCCCAGGAGGCAAAAAAAAAAAAAATAAAAAAAACAGTACTAGTCATTTTTTTTTTGAAATGTATTATTTTTGATAAATACAAAACAAAATCCTAAGCAGAAAATACTATGTGGAAATTTTTTGTAAATAGCAATGGTATTTAATTTATTATCCGCCCTGACATTTTGAGGATTCCAATTTTTTTCTGGACATCTTTTCTCCTGCAGATGAATTGCAATGTCGTTCCAGTTAAGGATATACGACAGCTCAACGTTAGCTTTCCGATACCCGACCTCCGGAAACACTACAAATCCAAGGTAAGTTGCATCAGTTTTTGTCTGTGTGATGATTTCTCAGTTATAGCCTAGATTCTGTAGGCAAGGTCTGATAGGATATCTCTAGTTTTCAGAGGTTTAATGTTTAACAGTGAGGATATGTTATTAAGGGAATAAATGTGGGCTTGGCCGGTTTTAAACACTATGTTTAAGACCGGTTTGGAGTCTGAATGCTGATATTCAGGTCATTTTCAGCGTCCAGACTCCAAACCGGTCTTAAACATAGTGTGTAATACCAGCAAAGCACATATTTATTCCCATTCACAAATACCTTTTCGGTCCAAAAGTCAAAACTAGTCAAAAATCATATATTTCCACAAATCTCTATACTTTTTAGCGTGGATAATAAACTTGAATTTGAATTTTGTTCAACAATTTTACTTCATGTTTATTCAAAATAAAATCAAAATAAAATCTGAAATTCACGCCAAAGTAACGGGTGGGTAAACTCAAGATTTATAAACGGGAACGTTTAGAGCCTGATGAAATTTCACTCACTGTGAAATTTCAGGTAAAACTTTTGCTCTAGCAAGGCGCTAGAGGCAAAAAATCAAAGTTCGCCATGTTAGGGGCCGCGCCACGATAGGGGACATCAACAATATATCAATAAGTCTGAAATGGAAAAAAAGTCACCCCCATTTGGTTTTTGCATATTTCTCCACATTAGCCTGTGCCCAGTTCCGTCACATTTTGCTGTATTGCCTCAGATATTTTGTTACTGTTAAGGCCATAATTTTTGTTTTTCTTGCACATCTGACATCAGCCAGCCCACTACCTGGGTCATCTCGTAGGTCATGAAGGCGAAGGCAGTCTTCTCTCTGAGTTGAAGTCCAAGGGCTGGGTCAACACGCTGTGCGGCGGGGCCAAGGATGGCGCTAAGGGCTTCATGTTCTTCATCATCAATGTGGACCTCAGCGAAGAAGGAATTGGTAAAAAACGCCTCAGAATTTAGTCCCTTTCTGTTTCAATTTGAGATGCGTATCCAGGATTTAGTCAGGGAAAATGGGGAATTTTTGATCCGAAAAAAAAATGGTCCCAATTCTTGGTATCCATAAGAATATTTAAGTTTCTTGGTAGAAGTAGCGACAACAAAGTGTTCTCTGTGATTTTTTGTTTTTATTTTAATAATTTTACAAAAGTTCAGTAATACTAAGACTTCTTGTTAAAAAGAAAGTGGCATGGTTGTGCTCATTCAGTTGGAAAATGGCTGCATCTTACATGCATTTGCATATAATGAGCGTTCAAATTGGAGTACAATCCCATAGGTTCAGCAGGCCGTCCATTTTGTAGACAATGTAAAAAACTTTAGTATTATCTCGTAAAAAGTATAACTTTACTGAAAACAAAGTAAGTTCATATTCTGCACAAAAGCAAACTTTTACTCTCCTTTAACACTTCAAATTCCTACGAGGTAATCTTCTATTAACTATGGATAACACTTCAAATCCCTTCACATTTTTTTTGAGTGGCTAAAGCTCAGGGCAAGCAGGCAGATTCGGTCACGTTATCTGTTCTCCACAGTGCTGCTTGTGTGTGTAGTGACTCTCTGTGTGACACAGTTACTTTAACACTTCATGTTCCTTCACCTGAAACTGACCTGCAGTGTTTTAAAGGATTTTACATATTGCTCTGGATATTGAATTCCCACTTGGGGGGTTAAGGCGAATTTGTGATATCACGGCAAGTATTCATGCTCTGAATTCACACAAGTTGAAAATATTTTGACTCTGCCATTTCCCAGGTTTGCAGCATTGCTAATGTTGCTAGCATCCTGACTTTGGGCGTGATCCCTGGCTACATGGCATATGCAGGTTTATGGCTTCTGACTAGCGCCCCATAGACAAAAACATTTACAAAACGGACAACCACCAACATAAGGCTGGGTAGCTCTGTTAGAAGGGCACCGAAATTGCAATCCGGAGGGCGCAGGTTCAAACCCTGCTCCACTCAATTTCTTTGTTCGTTTTTAAAAATAACATTTCAGCTCTTGCGAATATACAGCAAAAGCTTCGTGATGTCGAATCTTGTTTTAATTTTGCATTTTCTTGAAGCATGAACTTGCCTTTGGTCAGGTCTTTGAAATTCATTTCCAAGTCTTCCTTCCCTTTTTTTTTACCTCTCCCTCTCGACCTCAGACCACGTTGACGACATCATCTGTCACATGTTCCAGTACCTGAACCTCCTGCGTAAGGAAGGCCCGCAGGAGACGGTCCACAACGAGTGCCGGGACCTGGACGCCATGAAGTTCCAGTTCAAGGACAAAGAGCGGCCCGCGGGATACGTGACCAGAGTGGCCAGCATGCTTCACGTGAGTCGTGGAAAACCATTCTTTCACGCTAAAGCCGGCCTTAGGTCGACCCACGATTTGCTTGCGCCACGACGGAACCGTCGCCATCAAGCACAAAAATTGTGCTCAGGTCACAAAACTGAGAAATCGTGTGATTGTCGAGGGACACGTTGCAGAAGTTGAAATTGTTCTACCCTTGTGACTGTTGATTTTTTTTAGCCCCGACTGATGCCAATCGTTTTAATATCGTCGCAGTTACACTCGGGTCGCACAAAATTGGTGACTAAGTTGTTCCTGGCGGTCGTAGCTCAGACGCACCTTGATCCTGAAAAGTCAGTCGCCAACTGATCTGTGTCGTTGCAAGGTCGACCTGAGGCTGGCTTAAGTCTCTATCTGAAAATCTTGTGTTTGTATCTGGAAAAATGTTTCGGTTAAATAAAATCCCAAAAAGGTATTTTCCCACCCGTTTTTATCAGCCGTAATTGTTCCCCTATCTCGACTGCAGCAAGACTACCCAGTGGAGGAGGTGCTGAGTGCTCCGTTCATGATGTCGGACTTCAGACCCGACCTGATTGATATGGTGCTGAGCCAGTTAACGCCAGAAAATATCAGGTAAAAACGAAGTCAAACAAATCTGAACCCACATACAGTCGGTTTTGAATGTTTTTAACTATCAACGACATGTACAACTCTTCGTGCTAACGCAATATGAAAGCTGTGTGGTACAGCGAATACTGGAGTATGGCTAGCTCACATCACCGTACCGGCACCAGTTGGTATGCATTTTGCATGGAGTATGCGTGACTAATTTGGAAGTGAGTTTGTACAGGGAACAACACACTCCAGAGTGGGCGTGTGGCAGCATTTTGCGCTCAATTAACCACCATTCATAAATACCTCAGACAGTTTAGCCATTCCTATTGGTCGAGAGCCCGTCACGTGGCCGGTCTTAAACGGATGATAAAGACATGGCTAGCTGGTCTTAAACACTTTTCCAGTGTCGCAATAAAATGTAGACCCCTAAAAATCCAGTGCCTCTTACCGTTTCATTGGTTGAACGTTTACAATCCTCACGTAGGCATGCGCAACACTACCAGCGAGTCAGAATTTTATAGTTCTAAATTCAAAACGCAACGCGCCAGGTGCGTTCTGCGCGACATCGCTCAGAACATGCCACGCGCGCGTCAATCTCCATAAAAGGGTTGTTTACATCTTACTCGCCAGCTGAACACTCCATTATTTTGCTAGAGGGATGTTTCAAAAAGCATGAAGTGAACTTGTTGAACAAATTGGTATTTTTTGAACGAATTATTTGATATTTTTTACCAAAAAGGTATTTATGAATGGGAATAAATATGTGCTCAGTCGGTATTTATCACTCTGTTTAAGACCACTTAGAGTCTGGGTGCTGATGATTACCCTCGCCTCCGGCTCGGGTAATTATCAGCACCCAGACTCTAAGTGGTCTTAACCAGAGTGATAAAAACCTCCAGAGCACACATTTATTCCCTTAATAACAGTAGTATCTTTCATTTTTGTGTGTGAGGAGTAAATGCTTTCCTCTCTTTACCCACTCTTTCTGTCTTGCAGAGTTGGGGTGATCTCCAAAAGCTTTGAAGGTCAGACAGACTCAGTAGAGAAGTGGTACAAGACAGAGTACAAAATTGAGCACATCCCAGAAGACAAGATCAAGGTGAATTTATTTGATTTCGATTTTAATTTGATCAGATTTGGATCCATTGGAGTAGCTTGTGACTTGACTTGAGATTAGATGACTTGGTGGGGACTTGTGATGGACTTGTTGGGACTTGTGGTTGACTTGTGGGGACTCGTGGGGACTTTTGAGGACTTGTAGGGACTTGGCAGGACTCTTGGGGATTTGTGAGGACTTATGGGGACTGATGAGGGCTTGTGGAGACTTGTGAGGACGTTAGAATGTGTGAGGACTTGTGAGAACATGTGATTGACTTGTGGACTTGTGAGAACCCATGAGCACTTGTGGGGACATGTTAGGACTTGTGATGGACTTATGGGGACTTGTGATGGACTTGTGAGGACTTGTGATGGACTTGTCAGGACTTGTGATGGACTTGTCAGGACTTGTGAGGACATTTGATGGACTTGTCAGGACTTGTCAGGACTTGTCAGGACTTGTGAGGACTTGTGGTGGCCTAGTACAACACTGTGTTACATTGACATAAACCCCCACTTTTAAGCAGTCTGCATTTTCAACATATATATCTAACACGTGTCTTTCCTTCCAACTCTAACACATGCGCAGGCCTGGAAAGAAGCCGGGTTCCACGAGAAGTTTCACCTCCCCCAGAAGAACGAGTTCATCGCGACCAACTTTGACATCCACCCTCAAGACGAGGACTGCGTGGATTCGCCCAAGGGCACCTCAGGGGTGGCCCTGCCCACGGCCATCAAAGACACGCCCTTCACCAAGCTGTGGTTCAAACAGGACGATACCTTCCACCTGCCTAAAGTCTGTACCATGATGGAGATAGCAAGGTATGAACCAGGCACTTAATTTGGTGTTTCTGCTATCTGAACAGTCACAGACAGTCAAAAAAAAATGATCCTCTTCCCCTGCCATGCCTTTTACACCGGCTAGTCACCAACAGTCAGATCATATTTCAAGCAAGCATTCTGACTAGTCAAATTCAGTCAACAGACAAAAGCAGGCAAGTGGTAGGCACAGCCGGCTTATCAATCACATACAGTCAAAGCATAGCTGTATCAAGTTACATAAACAGTCACAGCCAGTCAATCCTGCTTTATGTAGGCTGGGAGCTCGTAACTGTTGAAAACGGTCACTTGATTGATTTTGACTGCAAGGACAACTTGGGACAGAATGTATGTTTGCATAGGAGGTTAATAATAATGTGTATTTATAAAGCACACGTATCCATCAGTATTGGTGCTCGAGGTGCTTCATCGTTATTACCCTGCTCATTGGGCCAATGAAACATTCCAAATACCATCTCAGCTCCCTGGGGAGTATACAGCTCGATGCTGCCCTTTCGGTGCAAAGCAGGTAAAATCGATCACAATAACCATCTCTGCCCTCACAGGTACCCAATTTACTCCTGGGTGGAGAGAAGCAATGAGTGACAAAGTGCCTTTGCCCAAGGGCACACGCACCATAGCCCCAGGCTGGACTCGAACCCACAACCTGCAGAATTACCCACAGACTGCAAATTCAATGTTTCAGACCACAAGGCCACAGAACTCCATTCAAAATGATTGTGTGAACGAGACAAACAATTTGGTAGAAATCTCTTTAGAAAGTGCTTTTAGAAAAACAACACCTTCACAATTTTCACAGACAAATTTTGCCAGGCACCTCCATAATTGTTTTCATCTTTGTGTTGTTAAAGCCCGTTAGCCTACTTGGACCCGCTACATTGCAACCTGACCTGTCTCTTTGCTGTGTTGCTGAGGGATTCCCTCAACGAGTACGCCTACGCGGCAGAGTTGGCTAACATCAACTACATGATTGACAGCACCGTCTACGGAATCAACGTGAGCTTTGAATCAATGTCGTGTCGTACAGTTGTATTAAAGACCATTCATTTTTTTTTTAAATTCTGTGAAGTGGTGATCCGCAAACATGTGGCACTTTTGTTTATGGCATTATATTACGGTGTTCTTGTGCACCACAGATTCAACTGGGAGGCTACAACGACAAACAAGTGCTGCTGCTCAAGAAAATCTTGGAGAAGATGACCAACTTTGAAATCGACGTCAACCGATTCGATGTCATCAAAGAAACAGTGAGTTTAAACAGTTCTTCGTGTAAATGCAACTTGATGTCACAAATCGTCCAATATCGATTTGGGTTTTCTGCAAAAAATAAAGAAAAGAAACCTTTTTGTGAATTTCTCTGCATTTCTAGCAGAATAGGGCAACATAAGTCAGGGTCTATCACAGTTACAACTGCAATGTGTGTGGGAACATGCTTACAATTTATAAATAGCAAAAGCGCCTGATGCCCGTTTTGTACATGGCATAAATAGGAATTCAATATTTTAATTCTATTTCTTTTTAAAAAATATTTCTACAACCACAGGGATTTTGGTTGTGATTCATGTATTTGTTTGTGTTTTCAGTATTCCAGGATGCTGCTGAATTTCCGAGCCGAGCAGCCCCATCAGCACGCCGTGTATTACACATCGATACTCATGTCAGAGCAAGCCTGGACCAAAGACGAAATGTCGGAATGTATGGACGGTAAGAAAGAAAACTCAACCAATCAGCATATCAATCAGTTACACAATCAAGCAAATACCAGCTTATAAATATTGTATAATCAGTCAGTAAATTTGTTATTATTTGTGATTTGACTCGAGCTTTGACTGTTGATTGATGGAGATGATTAATACTCTGAAGAAGCCTCTGTCTGCAGTTCACGCCCAACTTTTCTTTGCAATCTTTTGAGTAGAGGTAACAGTGGATCGGTTGAGGGCCTTCATTCCCCAGTTCCTGTCCAGGATTCATGTTGAGACGTTCATCCATGGCAACATGACTAAACAGGTAACAAAAGTTTTATCCAAAAGGCCAAAAAAACCAAAAAATTGGGGGGGGGAATGTGAAAAATGACTTGTTCAAAACTCGGAAGATTCTCCATAATTTCCTGTGATTTTGTATTCTTGACGATGCAGGAAGCTTTAGATGCCCAGGAGATGGTAGAGAGTATCTTGAAGGAGCAAGGAAACAGCAAGCCGCTCCTCCCAAGTCAGCTGATGAGACACAGGGAAATCCAGCTTCCTGACGGTAGGGTCACAACACTGCAGAAACTCACACCCCTATAGACCCTGTGCATAAAAGGTCTAATGGCTCAGTGCATGTGGTGGTTCCACAGCTGTCATGAAGCCATGTTGACAGCTAGTATGGGGAACGCACACATTTCCACTGGAAAAGCAAACTGTTTTCCTGGAGAAAGAAAACCGGAACACACATATACCTACTGGAATAAAGGTTTTCCTGGAACGAAACCTGTTTTTTCCCCACATAAATTTAAAAAAAAATTTAAATATGGCATATTCTAGCAGGCATGAGCTTTTTTTCTTTCAGAATTTTGTCTGAAATCAGTCCTTTTTAATCTGAGGGAAAGACATAATCATTATAGAAAGAAATGCATCTTTCAGATTGTTCATCAGATTTTCAGACCTTTTTATAAATTTACAATATCATCCCTTATCCATGTCTTGAACCCACAGGTTGTTTCTACAACTACCTACGTCACAACGATGTCCACACCTCCTCCGGTATTGAGGTCTACTACCAGACCGACGTGCAGACCACCAGAAGCAACATGCTGCTAGAGCTCTTCTGCCAAATCATCAGCGAGCCGTGCTTCGATACGCTCAGGACCAAGGAGCAATTGGGTAGGGTCACCCCCAAAATATTAAGTCTGTTTTAGACTAACCTGACTGCAGTTTATCATGTTGAATTGTAAAAATGTATGTAAAGTTGTTCAGCTAATGAAAAGTAAGTAAATAAAAAAAATTAAGAAAATATTGCTTAAACTTCAGTGGCCTCTGTATGTAAAAACAGTGTACTGATTTGTTACTCACTTTTTGACTGAGCGAGTCGTAAATTTAAAATATGGTAATCGATGTAATTTTCTGATGGCTTAGTGCTGTATTGACATTTTACATCAATGAGGCTATATCTCCCTTGCAGGTTACATTGTATTTAGCGGTGTGCGACGCTCCAATGGCGTTCAAGGTCTGAGGTTTATCATCCAATCGGAGAAGAGACCTCAGTATCTGGACAACAGAATCGAGGCGTTCCTCCTAAGTATGCAGGTAGGTCACTTTTAATTTTTCCTTCTGTAAAATTGAGCTTTTCAAATCCTCTACTTCAGCATGTTATCGTGTGTATTTCTGATACACAATTATTGGTTTAAATTCATTGTATGTTACCCATTCTTGTTGAAAATACAGGCAGTGGCGCACCCAGGATTTGGCTTGGGGGGTTCACAATTTGTATTTCAATTTTTTTGTTGAAGTTTGAATTTTTAAAAAAATTTTGTACAAACTTTTGGGCCGCAAAAAAAAATAATATTTTTTTCGAGAGAGGGGGGGGGGAGGACTATTTTCACATTGGTGGCGCCATCTACACCCCTATTAATAGACCAATACATAAGGCCACAGTCAAATCGTGAGACTAACAAAACAATTGACCCCCCCCCCAAAAAAAAAAACAACCATGGTCCAACCATCCTTCGTTCGAGTGAAGTCAGTTGAACTAGAGTTTACCATAGTGCCTGTCCAAATTACTCTAAGTTTGGTTCATTTCCAGACACATATCAAGGAACTTTCAGACGAAGCTTTCCAGAAGCATGTGAATGCGCTGGCTGTCAGGAGGTTGGAGAAACCGAAACGACTAGCCAGCGAGGCCGGCCGATACTGGTCGGAAATCACCTCCAAACAGTACAACTTTGACAGAGGTACATTATCAGAATTCAATCCCAAAATCAGTATACGAAGTCAAACAACTGAAGTGGATTTTTGATGGATACAGGATTGTGGAATCTGCAAGTATATCTTGGATTGAAATATCTGTTTGGTTTCAAGTGAGGAGAATGGGTCATTGAGTTAATGCATTATGTTGGAAATCAGTGGTTTCAGGGATGGTTATTGGTGTACAGATAATGAATGTTTGTGAGTGCAATGGTAAGAATAATTTCATGAGGTGACAGCTGTTTCACGAGGCGAAGCCGAGTTTAATGGAACATTTCATGTGTCACCGAATAAAATGGTTCTTTCCACTGCACGAATGTGACACATTCATTATTTGTTTTATACAACACCTGAATAAATTCTTGTCATCTGATTGGTCAGATCCGCCAAAATTTGACCATGCAATGGAAGTTCTACTTACTGATAAATAGAACTTTAATTTCGATGGCACGCGATAAACAACCCACCATCAGAAAGTGTATAATTATAGTGTATAATTTAAAAATGGGTATTGATTGATTGATACTAGGTTATGGGACTCACAAGCAGCGATGTTAATGATTTTGAGCCTTGAGCATTAAAAAAAGACAACTAATTCGAGTTTAGAGTGCAATAGTAATTATTATTTTATTAAAAAAACAAAGCATCTACAAATTTGCTTCTACAAACTACTACGGTGACAATATTCGGGCTTGGCAAGGGTTCTGCCTATTGTCATAATCTTTCACACTTGTCTGCAATCACAGTCCCATCGTAATATGAAGTTAGGTTTTTAGAAGCAACTCTTCTTTAAAACTTCCTTCCATCTCAATTTCTACCATAGCCAACATAGAGGTGGCTTACCTGAAGACCCTGACCAAGCAAGACATCCTGGGTTTCTTTGAGCAACTCTTGGCCGTGGACGCCCCCCGGCGACACAAGATATCCATCCACATCATGCCCCCCGTGGACCCCTCCTCCAACCAGGGAGGAGAGGGTGCCGGGGACCAGCCTGACGGGGACCAGCCGGACCTGGCCAGTCTGAACAGCATGGACCTGCTGCCTACTCCTCCGCTACCGCAGGTGAGATATTAGCCCATAAACACCTGTACTACATTGTATTACATTGTATGACATTGTATGACATTGTATTACATTGTATTACATTGTATGACATTGTATTACATTGTATTACATTGTATTACATTGTATGACATTGTATTACATTGTATTACATAGTATTACATTGTATTTATTCCCTGGTGAATCTACAAAAACCATACAGTGCTGGGGCAGTTTGGGGCGGTGCCCCGTGTAATAGGCGGGTGCAGATGTCCAGGAAACTTTTTAGATTGGCTCTAGCTCCCAGACCCATTTTCTTGAAACTCAATGGTTCTTGAGTCAGGAGTGCTAAATGGTAACATGTAGCAACCGATGAAAACTGGTGTGCGAATGATTAGATGATTTCACCGGCTGACGTAATCCCGCCCACGCCTATAGGGAGGGCAGTTTAGGGTGGTACAGGGACTAAATGGTTCCTTAATCCTAGACAGTTGCAGGTGCAGGTCTTCACTGCACATTTCTGGGGGCGGGGGCTAAAAAAACAATATTGAACTTTAAATTTTTGAGGAACTGATATCAAGCAATTTTTGGACTAAAAGTCTATAAAAAAAAAAAATCTCAAAATTTTCAAGAAAAAATGGACATATTTAAAGGATTTTTACGGAAAAAATGACAAAATTTGGTAAAATGTCTGGAAAATGTGGCTAATTACAGCAGAAACTCAGGAAACATTTGTCCCTTTAAAAAGGCGAATTCTGGTGGGATCAGATGTTGTTGTGCCCCAGGGCACTGCAGAGTTTGTCAAATTAGAAAAGAAATAATCGTGAGCATTTCTGTTGATTAAAGATTAAACTCTGCATGTTTATTTTCCCTGGAGCACAGAACACAGCATATGGTGTCTCTTTCCTTTCAAGTTATAATTTCTACAGGATTGTCAGCACACTTTGTTTTTCTTATTGTCATTTGCATTTTTCTTTCAGGCAACTGTCATTCAAGACATCACAGGATTCAAGACGGGTCTACCGTTGTTCCCGCTCCCAGAACCCTACAATAGCAGCGCTAAATCCAAATTGTAGAGAAACAAGAGATAACAAATGGTGGTAAATCGTTTTCTGAAACTGTTTTCTTCCCAGCATGCATGTACTACGTTCAACAAATTGGTCAGCTGACTTTGCTATAGAGTTGAGGGGAAATTGACATTGGTGGGTAGATACTAGACGGAAAAGTTGCCCTCAAATTTTTGCATGAGAAATATTAAGCTATGCATAAAGGTCATTTTTATTCAAGTTCACAAAAGTGTACGCAATGGTGTAACGTTACTTGCGCCACGTTTTTTTATTGAAAAGTTGGACAAAGAAATTGACTGGAGCAGGGTTTGAACCTGCGATCTCTAGATTGCCGTTCCGGTGCTCTACCAACTGAGCTGTCAAGCCCTATGTTGGCGGTTCCCTATTTGTCAATGTCTTCGTTCAAGGGGCACTAGTCAGAAGCCATAAACATGTATGCCATATAGCATATACAGGTGTTTTTTTTTGGCATATAATTGCACAAGCAGTTAGGACATGTTTTGCCCAAGTCTGCAAATTATTAAACAACTTTCTGTGTCGTATTTTATTGTGAGTTTGTGTGGTTCTGAAAAAGAACCGGTGGAAAAGTCAACATTTCTGCACGTTGTGGAATTGATCATAATGTGTATATTTGTAAATATATACGTATGCAAACTCGTGGCAAATGTTGCATAAAGGTTTTGTAGAGGCTGAGAACTCCCCAAATTCGTGTCTGATAATCCCTCGGGCCTTTGCTGCCCAGCTATAGTTAGGAATTGCCCAGCTATAGTTAGGAATTGCCCAACTATAGAAGGGAATCGCCCAACTATAGAAGGGAATTGCCCAACTATAGTTAGAATTGGCCAACTATAGTTAGGAATTGGCCAACTATAGTTAGGAATTGCCCGGCTATAGTTAGGAATTGCCCAGCTATAGTTAGGAATTGCCCAGCTATAGTAAGGAATTGCCCAGCTATAGTTAGGAATTGCCCTACTATAGTTGGGAATTGCCCAGCTATAGTTGGGAATTGCCCAGCTATAGCTAGGAATTGCCCAGCTATAGTTAGGAATTGCCCAGCTATAGCTAGGAATTGCCCAGCTATAGTTGGGAATTGCCCAGCTATAGTTAGGAATTTCCCAGCTATATTTTGGAATTGCCCAGCTATAGTTAGGAATTGCCCAGCTATAGTAAGGAATTCCCCAGCTATATTAAGGAATCGCCCAGCTATAGTTCGGAATCGCCCAGCTATAGCTAGGAATTGCCCAGCTATAGTTAGGAATTGCCCAGCTATAGTTAAGAATTCCCCAGCTATAGTTAAGAATTGCCCAGCTATAGTTAGGAATTGCCTAGTTGGGAATTGCCCAACTATAGAAGGGAATCGCCCAACTTTATTTGGGAATTGCCCAATTATATTGGGAGCTCCCCAATTATTGTTAGGATTTGCCTCAACTATAGTTGGGACCATTGCCATAATTGGTGCATAATGCAACCGTTCTTATGTCATATACACAATTGAGATCCTTCAGCAAAAAAAATATGCAGTGTAAATATGTTTATTTTTGTTTTTAGATCGACAATTCTTAAAACAAAATGAATGCAACTTTTTCTTTGTATACCTCTGTGTTCAGTGATAAATGTGCTGTGCAATATACTTGGCTGTAAAAATTTAAAGAAATCATGAAGAAAAAAAAAAAGATTGCAACAAACTTTAATAGTTTTTGATGGATTCGAAGGGCCAACTTAAGTCTTCTGACTGACTACTGTATCTTAGTATGAAAAATATCGGAAACTGCCTAAAACTGAGTGGGAATTTTCAGGTTCTTCATTAGGCATGTTTCGTCTTGTTTATGAGAGCATGTGTTATTTCCTTGAAGGTGAAATTAACGGTGTACGTATCTTTATATGCTTGATAGAATTGAGAATTTTGGGATGAGTGTCCTGAGTTTTACTGTAGTGAGCGCTAGTGTATCACTACCTCTGTAGAATATCAGCATCATGGGTGTTAGGTTTTTTGTTTTTTACTACTTGTTAAAGCCGGAGTCCATCATTTGCAGCTATGCAAAAAAGTAACTGGCGTAATTATTGTTGAAAACATACTGGTTGAAAGATAGTAAGGGGACTAAACTCCCTGTGAAATTATTCTTTCTGGCAAGCTCTCATTTTGAAGAAATCAACGAAAAAAGGCATTTCCAACGGTGCGTCTTAAGAAGCACCGTAGGAAAATTTAAATTAGTAGTCCGTTGTTATTTGGCGCAGCGACGCACAGGCGCGCGCGGTTGCCATAATTCGCGTAAAGCTGCAATTCAAAACAATTCAAAACATGATTTAGCAACTTTTGATTTGAAATTGAGATCCTAGAATGTTGTTTTTCTCGGAATATACAGCTGAAGCTGAGCTGAAACTTCATCAGGTTAGTTGTTCAGTATCCTTCATTAGATTTTGAGCACTTTCGTTGCTTCAAACGAACAAAATGCACAAATTACAAATGATGGACTCTGGCTTTAAATTCAGGTGGGAACATTTGATTCAATTCCTTGGGTAAAAAAATAATGCAGGGAAATAAATATAATTCTGGGTTTTTTTTCTTTTAATTTTTTTTCACTTCTTGTTTTCTGAAATCTTCATTTGTTTATCTAAATTAAAAATTATCAAGTTACAAAATATCTTTAAAAGTTTTTGAACTTTTTGGGTCTCATAAGGCTGTCAAACAATTGGTGTGTCGGATGATGTCAAAACAAATTTAATTAAATTTAAAATAAACAATCACAATTCCAGTAATGGAGTCATACCTTGGATTTTGAGTTTATTACAATGCTTTGTTTTTACTAGTGAAGTCAGAGAGCTACACAGGGCCGGATCAAAGGGAGTGCTTTGGGTGTTTTACCACCCCACACCTCCCCCTCCCCCTCCGACCCCTCTCTGAAATCCCTATGTCCACTTCTGCTACACATTCTCTTGAAGAGTGTTTCAAAACTTCAAAGGGAAAAATGTTGCATCCCGACACCACTTTTTTCATCATATATTTAAGTGGGGCGCTGTGGTCCAATGGTTACGGTGTTCGACTCGTGTGCCGTGGTATATGGGTTCGAATCCTGACCATGGGAACATGGTACTTGTGCTTTTGAGCAAGGCACTTTACCATTATTGCTTCGTCCTTCGGATGGGACGCAAAGCCGTAGGTCCCGTGTGTTATGTAATGCATGTTACAGAACCCAGTAACACTTATCGCAAAGAGAAGGGGTTTGCCCCGGTGTTTCTGGCAGTGGCTGCAATATGCGCCGCAGCACCTTGGGTCTCATATTTCTCGTATACTTCATTTACCCGTCTTTAAAAAAATAGACATAATTACCAGCACCTTGAGTACCTAATTGTTGGTAGATATGTGTTCTTTATGACTCCAGTATTATTTTTATTATATTATCTCAATGAAGGTCAGTCATTGCAAAAATGTTGAAAAGACATGAATCCGGGACTGAGAAACATTTCCAATTTTGTTAGAATATACTCAGAAAATGCACTCGACTCTCCATAGACTTTGTACACAAACCAAAGAAGTGGCGTCTGGATACTACATTCTTTCCCTTCAAATAAAGCACTAAACTGCAGACACCCATCCCCTATTGATATCTGACGCAGGTTCTGAAAGTTGATCGCAGGTTTCCAGCCGTGAAAGAGTTGGCATTCCTAAATGGAAAGCATTCCTTCCACTTTTCCTGTTTTCCCTCTTATTTTTAAGTGACAAGCCTATCATTAACACATCGGGCTTTCTCCGGTTAGGCCCCCAAAAAAGTGTCCGGTTTCTGGTATGGAGCTTGCCCAAAAAGTAGTGCGGCGACGCGGCTTTTTTTTTTTTTACCTTATTTTTTTTGCTTCAAATGTCGGCTGATGACTGCAAATGGTGCCCGACTAAACTTAGTGCAAATATATGGGAGTCCAGAGAGCTAGAGGCCACATAAAGCTTATTCTCGACCATAACCCAATCTAAAAACACGTTAAAATTGTGCAGCAGCAGGATTCCAGTCAAACCAGTGAGTCTGGCGGTTTTTAGACATCATCTTTCATTGAAAAAAAAACAACTTTTTCATTTTGCCGACGCGCATGGCTACGGCGACGCGCGCGCATACCAGAAACCGGAGACTTTTTTTTTGGCCTTACTGGTATACTAAGTACGCCACACAAATCCAGCTTCTCTACGGTTGGAATAACAACGAGATACGATGACCGAAACATGAGATTGGCAAGCGAAAGAAGATAGGGATATGTGTATATGGGAGTGCCAAGCAAGCTGTCATGATAGAGTCAACAGCGTTTCTCAAGTTGTAATAACGTAAGTCCATCAGCTGGTCGGTTGTCATAAATTACATGAACAGGGGAATGTACCACGAAATGCATACTGTAATATCACATTCCATCTCTTCCTGTACATGTTATTGTAAGCAATTGTATGTCAAGCCGAGTAAAATAACAATATAGTTTCTCAGCATTTTCCTAAAAATGAAGGCGGCACGTGCTATTTTGCTCCCCCCCCCGAGATGGTGGGTGTTCCAAGATGGCGAATTGAATCTTCCATTTTCTTCACTCTTTTGTTGATTTAAAAATTGTTTCCAAATGAGCCATGCATAACCCTTCTGCATAGCTACAATTTTTTTGAAACTAATTAAAAGACAATATATTGGCAATATATTTACAGAATATAATTGAAATGTATGAATTAAATATAAAAAAAAGGGTTTTTTTTTTTTTGCTAGGCCTTAAATGGGAGGTAATTATTTAAAGAAAAAAATTAGTGACCTTATATTACTGAACTGAAGTGCTGTCGTGTCTGGGTTTTTTTGCCAAGAACAAGCAATTTTAAAATTTTTATGATGGGGCACACAAATTTAAAACTTAGGTTTGTGTTTTCAAACCCAAGAATGCATTCACTTCAGCAGCTGGTTGGTTTTTTTAAAGATCTTTACATTAATTGCTAAAATCCAGACATGAAGGTATTCTTTTGATATCCGTTCAAAGAGGAGTTAGTCTGAATAGTCTAGAAAAAAAAGAACCTTAAAGAAAAGGAAAGAATTCCTCCAGATTTGTAAAAATCCCAGGCAGCAATTCACAACAACATTTCCAGACTTTTTAGGCCAACAGAGAGACAGGGAGAGAACCAAAGCTTGAGTTTAGAAATGCACAGAAAATGTGATTTCTTTCATTTATTTTTTTCGACTTTAGGAAATTATATTACAAGTGAATCTTTGGAATCCAACAAATCTCTGTAAAAAAAAACACGAAAATGAAATCAGGTTGGTAAATTACAAAGACATCAAAAGGAGCAGTATTTGAGTAAAACACAGGCTGTTTATTTAATTATTTTTTTTAAATGTGATTTTTTTTAATTTTTTGTTTTTGGTACAGCCATGCACAGGTACTTTTCAAAAACTTGCCGTCTGATTTTTCTGTTGGTCTGCCCAAAAAATTAATTAAAATTTATTTGAGCAAAAACATGGCCGAATTAAAACTACAAATAGAAATGATCTTCGGCCAAGTGAAGGATTTATTTCTCTATGCATCAAGTAATTTTTTAAGCCTATTTATATTAAGAGGATAGTGAAGCTATCAATTTTTCTGAAGGATATTTTTATTTTCTGGTAATGAAATATGAAATCCCAATCTGATTTCGAAGAACAAGTCGTGAAACACACAGGCCAATATCATCAAGCGATATACAATATCATGTACAAAAAAAATCATGTACAAAATAGGCTATGTGGTAATAAGAATCGTCCAGCTTAGCAAAAGAAAGCAGGGGCACCAGCTAAAAGTACATGCAATGTATGCTGCTTGTGACTGGTCACAGCTTTTTTTTTTGGTTTAGCGCATAAAGTTTCCATTTAATATCTTTCGCTTAGCAGTTCGGCCAAGCTAGACAACCGCTTTCCTAGAGCAAGCATTCCAGGAAGTCAAATTTAATTTTGCATTATTAAATATACATGTATTTATATAATCAATAAATAAGCTAAAATCTTAACACTACTTTGCATTTTTCAATTTCTGATGAATATAAACACAACAAACAAAAACTATATGCATGTTAAGATACAAAGCAAAGCACTTTTGAAATGAATTGCATTTAACTCTACCTTATCAGCTACAAGTACATGTACATACAATGGAAATTTAGCAAAATTTAAGGTCGAGGCTAATTAGTAATATGTAGACTTGATTCCAGCCAACAGCCAACAACCTATATCAGTTTTTACATGATGCCTTTGCCCTTTTTGTTCTCTTTGTGTTATGAGAATACAACAGGACAGACATCATGACTTGAATCAAGTATAACTTACATGCAGCATCCAATGTAGAAGAATGGAAATATCCCATCACCCTATGCTTACCATAGCAACTTTACAGAACCTGGTGTCATCCACGATTTAGGATTGTTGGGTATTGAAATTTGAGAGTTGACGGTATATCGTCACAGAAATATCGCGGTGCTCGGTAATACCGGGTACTTTTCTGGGAGGACTACCATGTCATCAAAATAAAATAAGACAAATGGTGATAGGTAAACCACAAACAGGCAGCGTCAGAAGAATTCCAAAGGCCCAGCTGGATTGCTAGTAAGCAAAAGTATCGGTTATTAGTCCAACTTCACAATTTTTGTCTATCTAGACCAAAAAGACTTTTAAACAATTAAATAAAACATATTATAAAATCTAGTTGAGATCTGGCCAACTTGTCTCTATTTCTCCTTTTTGAAAGACTTAGAACACATCTGGCCAGATTTTAGAGGGAATACTGCAGTACTGAAATTCCATATTGAGTGTTTCCGGTTGCTCGGTATTCTGACATCGTTCGGTATTGTTCGGTATCAAGAAAATATCATCACCATACGGTATTATTTAAATATTGTCCAAGCCTACTTTTATCTTCAGTCTTGCTTCATTTTTTCTCTTGCGGGGGTTGTGCACAAATCGGAGGGCACCATAATTGCTTGAGGCATTATCTCAAAGTTCAGTACAAGCAACAATCATTACTGAAATTCAGTAGATGTACCCTTTGTCTGGGGGTGGAAATTAAAAAGATATTTACTGAGAATATAAAAAATACAAGCTTTTTTATTGGAACGTGACAAATTAAGTGTAGGTAATTTCAGCTTTGATCAACAGAGGGGAGCTATATAGTCCCCCCACAAAATGAGTACAGAATACATATTCAATTCAAAGAGGTTCACATCAAGAGGCATTATCTAATGGTTAGGTAGCTCAAAATAAACTCAAATCAGAACAAACAGATGAAAACAAAAACAGTAAACATAATTATCTGTACATTACATTTCAAAACAATGTCACGGACGTGTAAACCATTGCAATCATTTTATACATTAGCATTTTCGACCGATTCCACAAATGTTCAATAAGGATGTGTGGAGAAAAAAAATGTACGCTTGTTAGCTTCTAACACTTTCAGTTTGAAATAAAATCATTGCCAATGTTATCATTAGCCTTTAAGAAAAAAAAATAGAAATTGGTATATACTTATGATTTTTTTTTTACAAATATCTTTCAAAAGCTATGTGTACAGCACGGTATTTACAATTAGCGTCTAAATTTAATAAAAACAAACAATGAAACCATTAAATAAAAGATCTTGTAATCGACGAGAAATTTCTGGGTTGAACAGACAGAGATGATTAGTGAGTAGTGACAAGAGTGATAAATGAAGGGATTTGCAACTGCTCTTAACTAACCATGCTATTTATTAAAGAAACTTAAAAAATGACAGTGGGTGTTCTTTTTTGTTTCTGTGTTTTGTTTTAGGGGTAATTATTGGGCAGGTCCCTGGGCTTTTTCTTCGGGGAAATCTTGAATGGTGCGGTGCGCTTGCCTTAGATACTGGTGCTGCTTGTAGAAAACCTTGAGTGCCCCTTTAATCGTGACAAACGCTATTCCACCCTGCAGGAGACAAAATACACAAAAAAGAGAAATTTAGAAACGAAGGAGAAAAACAGTAAATGGTAAATGGATCTTGGTAGCACTCATGTCACTCAGAACAACGTACACAATGTATATTTACATTAAAGGGAATATACAATGTTTGCTTTTGATGTAATTTTCAGAAGTGGATGGATTTGGGGGATAGTATTTTATAGCAAATTTTGTTACAACTGACTTGTTTGAACTTTTGTGCTCGTAGATGCTGGAAAAACCAAGAAAAATGCTGTACTTGTAGTCTGGTTCACTGACCCTACTTCAGACAAAACGGAGTCAGGTCAGGGAACCAGACTAGTTGGCTTGCACCTGTTAATGGATGTGCAACCGATAACAACCAAAACGTGAACTGACTAAATTTGATAAATTGGTGGCAGTATTTGAAATAAAGTCAGTCGACCATCGTTGGAAATTGCCACAATTTCACAGGATGCTTGAGAATATCATTTACATACAGTCAAGTAAGGTTTTTCATAATAATTTGTTAGTTTTGCTTTTTGATGTTTGCAAATGTTGTTCATTACCTTTAACTGTGCTTAATGCTTATGGTCGTTGGGTAAACATTCCAAGCACGGGGGAGAGCAAAAAAGACAGTCAATGCACGTTTTGGGTACCATGGTTTTATCAAAATGAATTTGCAAAAAACAGCCATCGTCAGAGATTCAAGAAAGTTACTGGTATGGGATTGTCATGAGCTGTACATATTTCATTACTACAAATGTAAGTCAGTGCAGTTGTGTACCGTTATCATTCCCACGGAATATCAAGCTGCAGTACCAGCATACTTAAAGGAATACATTTGCAAACATCAAAAAACAACACTATCACAATATTATGAAATACCTTACTTGACTGTATGTGAATAACAGTCTCAAGCATCCTGTGAAATCGTGGCACCTGGTGTGCTGTCATTTTCAAGAAAAGTGGAATATTTTTTATCAATTTCCAATGATGGTCGGCTGACCATCGTTGGGAAAAAATTACCTTTTTTTCAAATACTGCCCCCAATTTAAGAAACAAATTTTGTTGTCTACATTTTTTTGCAATGCCAGCAAGGGGGTCTGCAAATGTGCAAGCCAGCTAGTCTGGTTCCCTGACCTGACAATTCCCCGACGTCTGTAAAATCGCTCCGTTTAGTCGGGTCGGGGTACCAGACTACAAGAACAGTATTATTTTTTCTTGGTTTTTCCTGCATCTACGAACACAGATCCAAAATCATCCTGGGTTTTGGAGGATTGAGGATGAATGGTGTTAGAGACATGAGGATTTTGGAGGATTGAGGATGAATGGTGTTGAAGCACATGAAGATTTTGGAGGATTGAGGATGAATGCATTTTGAGAGGCAGGACTGTCTGACGATTTTGAAGGATTGAGGCGCTGGGTATCCTTCATTTGAAAATTAGTGCAAAATTTTTGGAGGATTTTGGAGGATTGAGGATGATTCCTAGCAATAAGGGCATAGGAGGTTACATTAAGGATTCATACTGCACTTGTGAAAAGCCAAAATACACAAGTTTACAATTTGTCATTCTCAGAAGAAAAAAAAAAGGACTCACCAGCACTGTCCTCTGTAGATTGGAGTGAAGTGATCCAAACATGAGTTTCCCGCACATGGTGGCAATGGTCGGGAAGATCAGCGCCCCGCACAGGACCCGAGTAGCCGAGATAGGGTCGGCCATGGGCATGAGTTCGGTGGGCACCCGGGGCAAGACGCTACCGCCCCCGAGCTCGGGGAAGAAGTAGCTCCAGAAGGGCAGCTTCGGGGAGTGCTTGCGCCAGAGGCGAAGGATGTAGTCCTCCCACCGGATCATCTTGGACAGGATCAGCATGACGGGGATGGTGGGCAGGCCGATCAGGAGGAACAGCGGGTCGGCCCGCTCCATGACGTCCAGCCCTTCCTTGTGGCCCAGCACCTGCATGACGGTCACCGCGCCGTAGGTGACCGCGGACCAGTAGACGGAGCCCACCACGATACCCCCGGCGGCAAAGGGGCAGACTTTGTAGATGAGTCGGTCCAGGACATCTAGGATGTACACCATGGAACCTGGCAAGATAAGAACCGAGTCTGCAGTTATCTTACCCCTAAAACTCTGCACTGCCCCAAACCGCCCTGCCTATTACACTCCCAGTAGCACCCAAAACCCTAACTCCCTAGGGGGTATGCAAAATCGTATTAAAATTGGAGGATTCAGGACTGTTTAGGGCGGAGTTAGAAGGCACTAGTAATGTTATGGCTAGGATAGGTATGAGTAAAGTTTTGTGCATTCATTGTTAATAATAATAAAAAGAACAAAGAATACCCTCTGAGACACCCACAATGAATAAGGTCTACGGGTTTATGGATTCATCAATAAACACAATGTAATACAATGTAATACAATGTAGTACTCTTGCTATTAGGCTTAATTGCTGTGAGACATTTGTGAGGCTGTGTACAGACAAATGAGACCGTGTTCAGACTGCCGGGAAGTCAGGTTGGTGTAGTGGTTCTTCCTCGCCTTCCACCTCTATGGCGCAGGCTCAATTCCTGCCGTGGTTCACATGTCGATTGGATTTTCAGTCCCTACCTGATTCCCTAGGTTTTCCCCCGAATTCTTCCGTGGGTTTTCCTCCCACCTCTAAAACTGTAATCTCTTTTCATCATCTTCTCTCTACATGTTTCTTCAGGCATGCGAGCAACAGTGCCTAGGGTGCTTTTGAGGCATCCCTAGTTTGCACCAACCTAAGTCAGGGTAGATGATGATGTACTCGGTGTTACACTGGGGACAAGACACCTTGACCGTGCTGTTGCCTCTCTGCTTCTCGTCGATCCACCGCTGCAGGCAGATCTGGTGGACCCACTTGGTGGTGCCCCGACACCGGCAAGGCTTCGTCCAGCGGGCTAAACGGTCGTCATCCTCTGTGGCAAAGCAGACCCAGCAGGTTTTCCTGGTGGTTGGGTGGAGGGGTGGGTGGAACAGGATGCAATACAGGAAGGTATTAAGATCAAATTTAAGATGATTTCGATATTTGTCACATGATGCAGTATTTAATAATGTGAAGTGTAAAATATCAGGAACAATCATTAAAGACAATCTTCAAATGTGTGTGTCACACTCTGTATGCATACAATTATGGTGTCAATGTTCAGACTAATTCAGTATTTATTAACCCTAACTCCCTAGCATGATTTACTAGGAACCACACCCATCCTGGCAAATTCCAACACCATATGGGAAACTGCACACACATATTTCTGGAGGTGTGCCTACCCAATGTAAAAGACTGTCAGTTTAGGGGTACTGTACCCATCCAGACAGATTCCAACAATACATGCTGTTGGAGTTTGATGAGTTGAGTTCTATTAGGGTTAATGTGAAATGAGAAATATCAATAATGATGAGTAATAAATTATGTAAAAAAACACACATCATCTGAACAAGCAAACAAGCCAACAGACAAACAAACCAATCATAAAATCTATACTAATACAACAAAATGTCTAGAGTTGGCAGGTAGCCATTTTTGACACGTTTGTTTTATCGCTGATGTAAACACAACACAATACCTACAGATGTCCGTACATTTAAGTAAAGTCTGCAGTGACACTGATGTCACACAACGTTAGATAAGTAACTGTGTTTGTTCTAAGGTTGGACCATCAAACGATAGACAGCTCTTTGTTCTCAACACATTCTTTTGTGCTACACTGGAAAACAAAGCCCACCCTGCTTAATATACTACAGTTCCTGTAATTAGGAATTAAGCAACCTCCCCCTAATTACATGCCGAGCTCAGTTAATCCCTCTTCAAACTATCCCCAGACCTTATTGTGGGCTCACCTGCTGGTAAATATGGACAATGAGGTAATGACCAGCTGGTCACTAACCACAGAACCTGGGTCAATGTTTGCAGTTTGACCACAAAGCCAGATTTACATCACAGTACTGGTCTGGGGCATATTTGCGATGACACTAATGGCCACCATAATTGCTTTTTAATGAACCCCCATCTACCAAGCAATCTGCAGGCTTACAATTTTGCATCAGCCTGAACTTATTGCACTGACCCAACACTCTTTCATTTTTCTTTGTCAAAAGGCTTTTTGAAATCAGCTGTGCTTGTGATATTTACAAACATGTAGGCACAATGAAAAAGTGTAAATAAATTTCAAGAAAAAGAAAAACTGTACTAAATGAAGCTTCATGTTTTGCATTCTAGTGTGTGTGCACGTGCACACATTTGAGATTTGCTAATTTTCAGTTTCAGACGAACATCTTGCTGCTCATATGCAACACTGTAGACAATCTTGAAGAAAAGTTATGGCTGTCTTTCCTAGTGTCGTTTTGGACGGACAGAAGCAGATTCGACTCCGAATACAATTGCGACTCCTGTTGGAATAAGATTCGATTCCAACAATTTTGGAATTACCCAAGCCTATTATGAACTACAATACAGCAGAGCGGCCAACTTTGAGTAAGAGTTAAGAGTGAGAATTTGGCAATGGAATTTGAGCTAATGCGAGCAAAAAGTGCGAACCGGCCCAAAAAAGTTGGATCTGAGATGCTCTGAGGTGCAATCTGAGGGATTGCACTCTTGAGAGATCCTGTGTGGGCGTAAGAATGTTGGAATAACCTGAGTACAGTCAACTACTTTCGGCATACACGCAACCGTCATCTATGCTCCTCTGAATCAACAGCGACATCAACAAAAACATTGACAAGTCAGTGTACCTGTCATCTATGCTCCTACTCCTAGTGGATGGCATTTTCCTGCACTCCTCATCACCGGCCCCTGTCTCATCGCCACTCATTGTGGATGCTGCTTTCTCCTCACGTTCTGCGATCAGGATTTGTTTTTGTTACACTAGCTTCATAGATAACACCTAGCCATCATCCTCATTCACTCAGGGGGTTGTCCGCAACAGTGTTTCTTGCATCCAGCAAGAGTCAATTACTGGACACTTTTCAATCAAAGATGCCTTTTTTCTGGAATGAGGCAAAAACATGCAGCACCTGTACAACATTTTGAGACACTGAACAAACACCTTAAGAAATAATGTACAAGTACAACAATTTAAAAAAAATAATAAATTCGGGGGGGGGGGGGGGGAGTAGTGTGAAATTACTGGTCCCAAGCATGCAAGTTGACCTCAAAAACCTGCGGAATTTTACGGGAATAGAGTACATCTGGTCACCATTTATAAAATCTAAACATGTGGAAGGAACATCTTATTTTGGGGGGGCCAGTTATTTTTTGCCCTGGCAAGGCTTATCCAGTCAAGGGCAATTGGTGGGCGGGGACATCCGGGAGCTTCTTACATTGCCTTGTCTAGTTCCAAGACCTAGGCCCTACTTAAAACTCTGGATTGCTGAATGTCCCCAATGATAACGCATCACACAAAATATTAATGAGGGAGGGGCAATGTGTTTAACTGCAGTCAGACACCAAAGGGTAGACCAAGAAATGCATTTTTCTCTCTCTCAAACGTTCCGAGAACTAGGCCTACAAGATGTTGGGTCTTGGGAAACCCCCTTAAATTCCTGAGCAATGACAAATTGACATGTTGCAATGCCAATGCCAATCGCACACTGCTCAGTGACAGCAGGAACACGTTGAACATGATTATTGTTTTCATTTTTACGATTCGTAGAAATCTTTGCAGCAACGGAATAGTTTGCTAAGAAGTCTATAATTTCAACTTACGTCGACTGGATTGTTGACAACGTCTTTTAAGCAAGGAACAGGGAGTTAATTCTACCTCAAAAACAGTTTTTCTACGAAACTCGATTATAGTGAGCTTCAAAAATAAAATGGCGGCGCGTGGTCAACTCAATTTAAAGTAGGTATAAGTATATTTTTTTTATTAGTAGAAGCAAATGATTTTCAAAAACAAAATCTGTTCAATTATTTTATTATTTTTATAAGATGTGTTTTAGTTTCTTTTACCTGTCATATTCTACAGATATGATCGCCATACTACAAGAGACATGTCTATTCAACTCACCTTTATCAATATTTATACCTAGATTTTGCAATAGAACAGTCCGTCGTGAAACACCCAAACGCCACAGTTCATGTATAGCGCCACCAATCTAAAGTTAAGAATTTTACGTACGTATACTACGTACATGTATCATGCGGGGTTTTTTTTTCATGCCATTTACTATAGCATCATAACTAAGACATGTCGCTACTTTTATGTTAAAAGAAAAGATATAAACCTCAAAACTGTTTATCCTGTTAATTAATTCATGCCTCTGGTTACACCCCTTGAATTCACCTTTGTTTCTTCATCACGCCTATGCAAAACTTTAGGTAAACTTTATTTCATGTGTGTAGTGTCAACTTTATTGCAGTCGACCGCGGAAAAAAATACATCTGACAGTGACAGCTAGCCAACGATGTTTATCGCAGAAATAGGTTTGTTTTGTTAACTTTAACTACCTTTTCTGTGTTCCACCCCTGGCTGCATGCGGCCTGCATGTGCTTATGTATACATGTCAAGTTCTGCCATAGTACATAAACTTGCACATACATTTGTACACGTGTTTTATCGATGAACTTATAAACCAAATTTCAATCCCCGAATTTAAAGTTTATGATGTGGTATATAGACGTCGCCAAACATACCTGATGAGTTGGGCCTCGGGTGGGCCGAATGACCCGAAAAAATGCCGGCTGGCAAATAACATTTTGTTGTGGGGCAAAATTGTGAACTTTTTTGCAGGCGACATTTTTGATAAATCGTCAACCAAAATCAAAATAAAGTAAGCTTTTTGTGATGAATTTTTTTCGCCAGTGATCGAAGCCAACTCGCACCTTCGTTCTTATTCCTCCATGCACCAACACACTTTTGTTTTAAATGCAAGTTGAGATGCACTTATAAAAGGTCCATGGGATGAATTCATTTTCATTCATTCATTCATTAAATTATTTATTAAAACAAATCATGACTCGCAGCCAAGGGCTGAATTGAACATGATTTACAGTTGCATCGGATGTAATTTCAGGAAGAACACGGTTCTGCTTGGGTTTTCTGTTCAACTTGTGAACCCAAAAACTTGCTCCATTGCAAACATTATTTTGTGAGAAAAGCTTGCTCATTGGCTTACTGCCATGTACTGACACAACAACGAATCACCAAAGAAAAAGATAAATTCACGACAGCAAAATATCCCAAATTCTGGCAACTGTTGGTGGTCACGGTGAAATAGCTCTGTGATGGTTTCTGCCTGAAATAACACTTTTGTTATGAATAAACAGGCACAAAAAATACCCTTGAAAATGCAAAACGAAAATTGAAAATAAGGCTAAATAGGGAACAAAGGTGCATTTTCAAGGATTGAATTAAATATCACCATTTGAAGCTACGCAAAGAATGGTGTCAATCTATACATTTTTTTCACCATAGGGAATCGAAATGCTGTGTGATTTCATCAAACCAGAAATTTTGTGACAATCAACGCATAACATAATTCCAATTATCTTAAATATTTTACGGAGATTTCGTTCGTTTGAAAAAATGAAGAAAACAAATTCTTTACTTAATCATGATTTAATTATCACACAAAATGGTATCCCGCACGCGTACCATTGTTAACTGATCCCCAATTAAATTTATGAGACAACCTCAACATGAGCGTACCGGCGGCAATTTCTTGTCAACATTGGAGGGGGGGGGGGGGAACACAAGAATAGCTGATCATATTTTTTTTTAAATCTTCCAATTGTTTTTTTTTTTATTTGCAAACCCTTTTTAATACTAATATTTAGTGGCATATTTTTTATTATTCGTGTGGTACAATTATATGATTACCTTTTTAAAATGTTCTTTTTAATGTAAATCATGTGCAATGCAGCTATGGCTGCTACTCGTGATTTTAAAAAAAAAAATTATAAACCATGCTGAATGAAAATTCGAAAAGCGGGGTGGGGGGGGGGGGGAGTGCTTTGACAACATGTATGCAAGCATACATAAGTTATAGCCTACATGTACATAATTCTTAATACGGATTTTACGAGCATTTCTCCCAGTTTAGATACATGTACGTAAAACTGGGTGCTGAACGAGAATAATCCAAGCGCTATTATTAAATCATAATATTTTGTAAATTTCACTAACATAGGTAAAAATCTATAAATCATTGGGGGGGACATCGCCATTGGGGTCTCCCCAAAATATTGGGAGGGGCATGTCCCATATCTAACCCCCACTCCACGCCGCCCGAGCGGCGTGCGGTACTGATCAGACTTTCCACACCGCAGCTTGGCCTGCACTTCACCCACAACTATCCTGTGGTGACCGCGAGGGAAGGTAATAAAATAAAACTTTAGTGTCACTCAAAACAGTCATGAGAAATAACAGCAACTCATATTTTTTCTTGTATATTCATGTTCACAAACAGAGTTTTCTAAACAAAACAAAAGGGCATAACATCAATAACGACACCTGTCGTTTTGGACTGGGTCTAGGGGGTTAACAATGTCAGACCGCGTAACAAAAGACCCGGCGAATACCCTGGCAAGTTGGCGGGTGGAGCACCTGTCTCCAAAACTTTTGTTCGGGCAAGGCCGTCTCTTTCAAGCAGGCAGCTGTACATAAAATTTCATGATTATAGCCATATTCATTATTAATACAAGAACCTTTTATTTCTTTGATAGAGTTCACGTTTTGTTGAACTCTCTGCCCTATGTGTGCTCTCGGGAGGGGCGGGTGGTTGGTTGTTGCATATGCACTTTTTTAATTCAAGAATAAAGTTTACCATTAAACAGGCAAATTTCTACACTGATATCTCCAACTTAAATGTAATGGGAACATTTATTTTTTGGGTCATTTTTTCTTTTTCTTCTTCATTTGATACAACAAAACTGCTCAAAATCTTAAGAAGGGATGATAACAACTAACATGTTGAAGTTTCAGCTTAGTGCTATACATTTTGAGCCTAAACAGAGAAAACGTAAGCTCAATTTTTGGGTAACTGCATGATTTCGTTGCTAAAGCACACGTAAAAATATGTGCCCGCGTGAGCACAGCTTCCAAGACCACCTTCAATTACTGTTTTCTTCCGAATTATACAATTTAAAGCCAAACGGAGGGCATTTTGGTACCAATCCTGTCTTCACTTTGAGCACTGGATTTTTCTCGATAAATCGGTAGGTACGTTTCCGCGGGTACTTGCAAATGTCCCTACGTGCCTTTAGGACGATAACTTATGTGTTCAGTTTGTTGCTGTTAGGTTGCAGATTCGTTTGTTTGTTGTCTCTAATTTCCAAGGACAATCAGAAAACTTTGAAAAAGAATGACTTAAATTGAAACTCCAGTGAAAATTCGACCTACTAGATTGTTTGTTGTTGTAATAAGAATATCAGTCCTATCTAATTGAGATGAACTTTTCAAGGGAGTCGAATAAATTGTTCCTCCTTGGAAATAAGAGAGTTAAATTGTGTCGATCATGAGATTAACCAGACCCAGTAAAAATACCTTTTCACGGAAGATAAAACATTGAAAATTAATAGCCAAGCGGACGATTGCAATCGAGACTATTTATCGAATTGCCAAACAAAACAAATGCCATATCAGATAGGACTATATCACCAAAGTTAGTAATTTTTTGGATGTCTGAATAGCCGCCCCCCCCCCCCCCCCCCCCACCGAAAAGAACAGCTTGAATTAGGCCGCCATGATTTCAATGTCCGAGCATTTAACTATGTCATAATATACGAACATTTGCTAACATTTAGGCCCAAGTACAGTTAGCAAAGTTTCAACTTTATAGGACAAGATAATTATTTCCCCATCCACAAAGACTAAATTACCACGTACAACCAGATGTTGGCATACCAGTACATGTACTCCACCATGCACGTCAAATTCCTTTTTTTTTCCCGCGAGGCTTTGTCCGGAATCCCCCCCCCCCCCCGTCGAAATCGCCGATGAATAAAGTCATTTACGTGCCGTAGACCGGCGACAGACCACGGTATCGCTGCGGGGTTATTATCCAGTACAACCACATTTCTCCGCTCAACTTTCTTTGTGAATCTGGCTGCCATTGTAAACTCCTTTTATTGCTTTGCCCTCCTCTATTTCCAGGCCGTCCGCTGGGCCTTTGTTGGACCCGTAATAGGTCGCGTGGCCCGCACGCGACCAGACAAGCATCCAGAGAACGGTCCAATAACGACCCAACATTCTTGTGGTTTTATTGTCTTGTTGGTACCCGCTCCTTAATTCCCTTCCCCATGTCCCCTTGGTCCTTGTTCTCTGTTTCTTCTAGCAGCCAAAATAACCCTTGCAGATATGCCACCCGTAACTTCTTTCCCTTTTTTCCCCCCATTTGTCATTAGCCAAAACCACACACCAACCTTCATGGTGTGACGCCGCACGGAGCAATGAATGTTTATAGTTTTAGGCTTTACTTTCGATAAGAAAATAATTATCATGACTGTTGTTACCACACCAGCTATGTTACCACCAGGACCTCAACTCAATGTAAGCCAAATATGGGCATCGTATGGGTGACAAAAGACCACAACTTTTTCTTCAGAAGGTATTGGAGCGATGAAGAGTAAAATAACCCCATAGTTCCAATTGGAAGAATGCAGGAATCCATTGATATAATTATGCGAAGACGTCAAATAAATTTAATTTAAAAAAATTATAAGTACGACTCCATCAGCGGTAACGGCAAAGCAACAGTTAACAAAATCAACAACACAAAATTCGGAAACCAATCAACTCACCAACCAACCTACCAACCAAAATTTAATCAAAGAAACAATTACTTTTTTTCTTTATGTTCAGATTTGGCGGACCTTTCACCAACTTTCAAAATGGTCTTCAGTGAAATAAGGCCGGCAAAAAAAGGGGAGAAATGAGAACCAACTAACGGGCTGAATTCCGCGGAATATTAATCAGGCATGATGCAGAACATGTATCTGTTTAGAGTAAGTGATAGTCATGCACAATGTTCTTGCTGTCACTTGAAATAAAATGATACCAGAGACCCCATTGAAACATTATCACTAATTCTTGATGGTATACCCGTATAACCCATACCATCGACAACAAAACGGGACCGCCACATTGCCTCACAGCTCACTTTGGCGCCTTTTCATTCCGCGACGGTTATTTATCCTCACACACACGTTCACACAAAAGCAAGAAAGACCTTCCGAAGCAACCACAGGTAAAACCACGGCACGAGCGGATTCACAAAAGTGTGAAAACCAACTTTTCTTCAACCTATTGTCCGACTTGCCCCATTCATGTCCCTTTTGTGGACAAAGCGCCCTCGTTGGGTTTATGTGAGACAGTAGCAGCTGGCCCGGTGTTGCCGCTCGTGACCGCTGGCGGTTTCTAGTACTCCCTTTTCGTCGCCCAAAATCTAAAATAAAACAGATGCATGTTTAAGTCTGCGATCGAAACAAATACAGCTAAGAATTGTTAAATTTTGACGGAATACATATTTTCTATACATTTCTTCAAAATTATATTTCAAAATGCGATTATTTTCGCATAAAAAATGGGTAAATATTGCTTTCTTGCCTTGTTTACTATAAATTGATGGGTGGGGACTTAGAAACCGACGTCACCAGCCTAACCGGGTATGTCTTGTACGCTGAATACATCGCCATCGCCAGCGCGCCGAATCAAACGTGTACAAATTTCCCACCACGGCCGGCCATATCGTGTAAACAGCTCAGCCGACCGTACGGTTTGCGTGCGTAAGATCCGCGTCGAATGCCGGTACCGTCGTAGATTCGTATCTGCTGCATCGTCAAACAGCTGGACATGAAAGGTACACTGAACTAGCTGTAACGTATTTTTTGACGTTAAAGAGAGAAAATTAGAGCGTGTCAGTTTGGTTTGACAAGACCAAGTAGCTCTTGCTAAATGGGGGATTTCGGTTTGGATGTTCATCCACACGATACGAGGGCCCTCTCACCGCTGGAATTGTACCCGAATTCGAGCACTGTGTCTTTGTTTTCTCCCGAGGCGCTAACGATGCAAGATGACATGCTGATGGAGAAAAGTGCGAACAAGCAGCACCTTCAGCAGTTATCCCCCAACCCAGATCTCAGCTCCGACAACTCGGACGACTTGTCGCCTGGCTCAAAGTCAAAATCGGGGGATTCCAGTCCGCTAACTGTACCAGATAAGAACAAAGCGCAGTCTGAGGTAGTTCCCACATCGGCGCCGGCTACAGCAGCAGTTGGGCTTTTGCAGCTGCAGCAGCAGATTGGGTACTACGCACAGGCCCAGGTCCATGCACAGGCACATGCACATCAACAACAGCAGCAGCAGCAGCAGCAGCATCAGCAGCAGCAACAACAGTTTATCCAAGACGTGAACCCCAGCAACTACATCAACAACGTTGCTAGCTCTGGCACCAGCACAGTTAACTCTGTTGCAAGTTCAAGTGGTTTTACAAGCTCGCCTAATCTCTGGTCAACTGCCACAGCTGCTGAAGAATCCTATTTCCAGGGGCTGCCAACCATGAATGGCACAATGCAGTTTCAGAATTTTCCCCGCAACTCATCGCCGCTTTTTAGTCCCAATGCCACATTATCCCCACAGCTCGGGATGCAACAGCAGCAGGCTGTCCAGCAACGCCGTAGCCTACCACCTCACCAAGCACCGACACAGCAGCAAAACATCTATCAGACGGCAACCCAGCTGCAGCAGGCTCAAGCTCAGCTGCAGGCACAGGCTCAGGCTGGGAGTCTTTACCTCCAAAATAAGCAGTACCCGACCAACTGGAACTCGGCAGCTGCTCAACAAACAGCTGCTGCAACCTCGTGGCCATCACCTCAGGCTCACCAGCAAGGCATGCAGCCATCTGTTCAGCAGCAGCAGCAGCAACAACAACAGGGGAACCCCTGGGGAACTGTGGGCTCTCCCCCAAGTGGCCCAGCTCCTACGATGGCAAACAACATTCAGCAGCAGCAGAGGCGTTCTATGCCGACAGTCAATCAAACCGGCAACCAGCCCTCAATATCACCCCACAAAGGCCGCATTCTTTCCAACCCTATCATCTCGCCACCCAAGTTTCAGCGAAGCACATCACTGCCTGCCAAGAACTACGGACACCAGTATCCATCAGGCATGAACACAGCACCGAGTTTAGAATTCACCAGAGCGGATGGGAAGAGGACAGATGCCAACACCAACACACTTTTTCCATACCAGGTTAGTCTTTTTGCCCCAATAAAAATTTTGTAAAAAATGAATATTATAAAAAAATTGAAGAAAAATATATGTTACAAAGTCATGAGCAATACAACCTATACTACAGGTGCTTTTCTTTTTCAATCAAGAAGACTTCATTCAGACTCTGCATTCTTTCCCATTTAATTTTCAACCAAAATGTATTTGCTGAAATACAAAGTAAACCAAAAAATTACACTTGATTCATAAAAACTCTGAATTAACATTTTTTTTCCATTCGGTATTCCTGCAGTTTTAAGCCAGAATATGACTGAAAGACATTATATTGTGCATTTTGTACCTTGCATTCACCTTCTTTTGTGTGTGTGTGGAATTGTGCATGTTGCTGAACAAACCAAAAAAGAAATGAAAACCCATGGCTTTCCATAGGGGGGATGCTTTATAAAATTAGATTTTACAGCTGGTTATATCATGTTATTATTATATTTATATATTATGATTTGGATTTCTTTTGCAGGCAAAATGTTTCTACCCCCTGTTTGATCAAGTTGTTCTAAGTGATAAATCAGATTGTACTAACCTGATATAATTAGGAAAATATGGGTGAAATGTCAAATGTTACATGCACACGTATACAGTACAATTTTAATAAAGTTAATACTTGTACCTAGATTCCTGACCACATACACGCTGCAAGAAATGTCACAGGGTCAAAATGGAAATTAGTTTACCATTATACCCAAGGGTCTAGCATCATAAATATTTGGGGAAATTCTTGGGGTTGAAATGCACTCAGTGTTGCATCTGGGCTGATCTGGCCTAGCTATTTTATGCACGACTGCAACACTATATCTTTATTTGTAAACATTGGCTCTCCTATTGCATATATGCAAAAATATATATAAGGTAAGAATATATTCTTACCTTACCCGAACTGGAACTCTTTATAGAGACAATTTAGGCCTGCAGTTTTCTTTGGTCAAGGGAATTTATACCGTAAAGTTAAAACTCCATGCTTCTGTTTTGTAGATCTGATCTCTTGAAAATCCAATTGTCTGTAGGATTATTTCAAAAGACACTTAGTCAAAGACCATATATTTTTATTTATTTATTTATTTATTTAAAAAAATATTCTCCATCCAAGCTATGGGTACATGTAGGGAAGGATCAATCCAATTGGTCTGAATAGGTTGTAAACACAAAAAATATAGGTTTTATTTCGTAGAATATCAGCAATCTTTCTACGTGGATGAGCCTCATATAGATTGACCTCTGTACGGAAAGTGTGCTAGCTTCCTTGTGGTTGCTAGGCACCATTGATAGTGTTGCGCATTTGCACTGTATAATGTACTGGATAACAGCATCTCTTGATGCAAGTGATGAATACGAATTGAGATATTATATGAATAGTGCAAAGTTAATTTGTAATTTTGTGACCATTAGCAAAATTGTCCGTAAGTGACAACCTTGTATTTTAATAGTGTTGTCGGGGCCTGTACATTTGTATGCTGATGTGCCAGCACAATAACATTAACATCTCCATTTTTATAAATGTTTACTGTCCATTTACATGTCAAGATGCGTACCATGCATGCATACACACAACAGGCATGTACTGTAGTACCATGGAACTGCGAAAACCATTATCCACAATGTGTTCATGTACTTTTAACTGCTGGACAAATTAAGCCACAAACGGCTGGACAAAAGCCACAAAGGCATAGACTCCAGTTGGAAGCTCTTAAACGTTGAAAGGAGATTTGCTGTGTAATCTCCAAGAGCTGTTGCTGCAAATGCTGTGTTTACAGTCTTCATCCCATTCAATGCCTCCGTGTTTTAACATGTGCCTGGGTCACATTGGTTATTGATCCTTATCAGTCTCTATATGGGCTGTCCATTATGTAACATTGAACAATGCAGGTGTTCTCAGCCCAAATATTTCCCAAGCGACCATATACATTTTGCATCACGTGTTTGCGTGTAAGCAAGGTACCTTCTTGCACCTCTCCATTTGTTTATTTTTTGTTTTGCCTTGTCATGAGTTAAAAATAGAAGTGGAGTCATTACTAATCAAGCATCCATAAATTTCAGGCACAAAATGCCTATATTTTGCGTGCAATATTCATAACCGAATAATCATTCTAGAGGAAGAATGACAAGAAATAACAACTTTGTTGTCTTCGTTGCTTGTGTTTCCCATGATTTCAACCATTAAGATCAATGAAAAATACCCTTTAAATAAGTATCATTGCCAAATATATTTTTACTCAAGAATCACATGCGTGCACTCATGTGGACAAATTCCTTCTGAATTCCAGAGTCTTTTTTTTGCTCATGGCTTGAATAAAAAAAAATTGTAGCTGCACTTTGAGGAATGTCCACTCCAGACAAGCATCCCAGGAATCTTATTAGAGTTCAAACACATACTATATTGCATGGTGTATTTCTTGTGTGCACATGCATTAGAGCTGGTAAGAAACCCTGGTGGGAAGTACCTACATTTGTACACGTATAGACCATTATCATGTTGCAGCCATTTGATTTTTTTCCCATTCAGATCAATGTAACCAAAGCGAAGCTGGAGGGAAAACTAGTCTGGTTCCTATTTGCACAAAAAACATTATCATTCAGTACTGTTATTGGATACAGGGAACATGACTAAAATGGTGGAAGCATGATAAAGGTCTATTGGACAGTAGACCTACTTTTTGAACCAATTTCATTGCTGTCATTTAGGGGGGACAGTAGCATTCACAGCTTGTCACATAACACGTACATTATGTGCTTGGGAATAAGCCCGGATGAGAAACTATTTGATTTGTTCACTCGGCCTAAGATCATATTGCTGCATGTGTAGATTTAGTTTACATACACAAAGAGCCTATCATATTGGCTAATGGATACTACTACAGTGTAAGATGTGCAGTAGTATGGAGCATCTGTGTGCGTGTACATGTGCACTGTTTTATTAGTGGGAACAGGTGTGGTGCCAGACTACATTTTCTCCAACTTAGCATGTGTGTACAAGTATGCATTACCCTTTTGCCAAATTTGGCAACCCTCCAGAATGTACATGACCTTGGCAGTTCTGCTTAACCTAAGGCCATGCAACCCATCTTGCTCAGCACATGTCGTAATAGCTCTGCACAGCAGTGGCAAGCTTGAATGGCCGTGTTTAGTTTCAATTCTACTTTCCATTACGAAAAAACTTGATGGGTAAAACTAAAATTCTAACAGGAAATCTAGCTTTCACTCAACTCTCAGCTTCAAAGATTGCAATCAGTTTTGTGGAAAAGTATATACACATCTAGAATATTTTTGTGTGTGTATTATTAGAAATGTGCATAGCGTAAAAAGTGGAACAATAACTTATTTCGTTGACTACCATTTGTAGGCAAGAACTGGCTCCCAAGTCACATTGTCTACATCCCATAAAGTGGTGGATTTGAAGATCAGGCAATAATCAATAATCAATAGGTTCTCATTCCCCATACAACTCTGCAGAGCAATTGTGAGGACCTGGGACACAGTGAATTATTCAGATGATCCCGTTGTAATACATTCAGTAAACAAACTTGTTCTCAATATACCCAACATGTCATTTCTACATTGTACACTCTAGTCTGAGAACGTGCTCAGCTGTTGGAATTAAAACTGATGGTAGAAGAAAAAACTGATAGTGTACAAATGCACACTAAATAGGAAGCATAGTCTAAAGCCCGGTTCATACTCCACGCGAATGCGAATGCGAAGCGAATTTGACGTCATGGCACGTTCGCTGCAAAATTCGCCCGAGTTAAAATCTGTTCAACTTTTACGAATTCGCAGCGCGAATACTTGCCATGACATCCCAAATTCGCGTTTGCTTTCACTTTCACGCCGAGTATGAACCGGGCAATAACGCGAAGGTTTTTGAAATTAGGAATACATGCAAACTTCCTTAAAGTTATACTTTGCACAGAAACGTTTCAGAATGTATATTACGTAAACTATAAAGTAGTGGGTACATGTATTACATTTTCCTCGTACAGAAAACTACATACATGTATTTGTAAATGTTTGTATACTATTTACTGCCTGTATTTGTACTAGGAGGAATGCAATTTGACGTGCATACATGTGTAAATTCTTGGAGGTGCACCATGCATTTTCAAATCAAGAAACCTTTCAGGTTGATCGTGGAGGTAGAATTCTACCTCCATGGGTCGACAGAGTTTCCAAAGTTAATCATTTATTTTGTGTTGTATTTCCCCCCCCCCCCAAAAAAAGTATTTTGTGTTATTTACCTTCAAAAACTTATGTTAAAAAAAGGCAGATTGAGTGTGCTGTTTGGCTGATTTATAACACGACATTATATAGTAAACTGAATTTTCATTTCTACTGCAGGAACGAGCTGGGCAGAATGCAGGGGTTGACCCCATGAAACTATCATCTCTAGAGCACCAACTGTTTGACATCATGCGTGGCACAGAAAACTCCATGGACCACTACACTCGAAACTCATGTGAGTACTTTGATTTTCTACTTTTAATATATACATGTATATCAACTTACATTATGGTTGTCAAATGGTTGTTTCCTTGTAGTTGTGACAAAACAGTGTACTTTCAAGATTGCTGATTATTGTTAGTTTCAAGTTCTGGGTAACTTTGAGCGTTCAGTCTAGAAGATCAATTGACCTATCACAGTAGAATCACGTCAACGCAGCTTGTGAAATATTGTCCAATTACATGATTATACAAATGGACGCAGAACGCGCAAAATCTGAGACAAACAAAACTTAACGTACAAAATCCCATTAAGTTGTCTAAGGGGCGTGGCTAACTCGCAAACGGCGATAGGCCAATTAAGGGTGAAGCTTGAAGTTTAACAAAAGGCTAACAGTTCTCAGTACCTCTAATAATGAAACCAGGTGAAAAAAATCAGGAAAGTCCCAGGTTCCCATAAATGACATATTAAACAATTGCCGTGTAAACTGTACTGAAACTTGTAATTCCTGTGTATTTGAACAGAATGCTTTGTCGTCTTCTATTACATATTATGACAAAAGTCCAGCATTTTGTTAGTAGGCTCACCCAAATTGCTCAAATAAGTTTGCTTTGCTTGCACTTTGTAACTTAAAGCTCATCCTTGTCAGGTCAGTGGGATGGTTGGGTCACACTGCATGGGTTCACATCTTATCTTGTTTGTTTGTGGTGGGCGGATTACAGAAACAGTGCTTTTAGTACCAATGGGGCAATATAGAAAATTGTACGCAGTCAATTTGAGGGCATACACTGGTGCTTTAAGAGTTGACCTAGTATTAGCTTGCACAGGTATAACCACAAGACCACATAAATGACATGATTATGTCCAATATAATACTCTTTACAATACATTTTGTGGCATACTGGCACGTGGCAATGTGTTCTTATTCCTCCATGGTCTGACGTGCTGACTGAGTAAAATTTATGCCATATGGGACATTGGAGTCGATGCATTTTACACAATCAACACATGAAAATTGTTGAGTTAGCTTTTTAACATCAGTGTGCTGCATACTGCTGCACAGGTAAAGAGGGGTAGATCTTGTTCATTATAAAAACTCAGAGAAGCTAAATTTAGTCATTTGCACTAACATTTGACCAAAGTTGGATATCACTCAGCTGTCACTAACTGTCTTCCCTAACAAATGGACCAGCTATTGCCCATAAAAATGACAAAGATGCTTGCCATTCCCCGGGGGGCAAATGTAACATTCTGCATACTCTGAGTGCATGGGTATGCCAAGGTTTGGAGAAATAGTCAGCCATCGTGCTGTCATGAACCAGTCTTGAACCATTCTTACGTACATTGTTCAACCATTGTGCTTCTGATTACGTTGTCAGATCAGTTCTGAATCTGTGTTGGTACTACAAAGCTTGAAACTGGATGATATCTGTGCCAATATCTCCTCTGATATTGTACTTTTGACCCCCCCCCCCCATGCACACACACACTAACCCCTGACCCCCTCCCTCTGGAAAAAAAACCCAGGAAAATCATTTAAAAATAGACATTCACATATTCTGTGATGGAAAAAAATTATCCAAAAGAAAACTTAAAGCAGTTTTACTAATATTCTTCCACACACACACACAAACAAAAATAAAATTATATTATGAGTTTTGAATTATTAAAGCAAATGGATTTTAATAGATTAGAAATTGGCTAGGATGTGTTTGATTCCCCTTTTACTCAGTTTCTGTAGTTGTGGTTTCGAGAATGTGCACATGTATAACTAGGAATAAATGTGGCTGCCAAATGCAGAATGAATCCATCCAGTGGTTTTTTTTTTTTCATTTCAAATGTCACAGATAATGAATCATTGAATTTTGGCCTTACACTCGGTTTATTTTATGGAAGCTTATGGACAATTTAAGCTCTTACAGTGCAGCTACCCTAATGTGTTGTTCGTTTTAACAAAATTTAGTTGTGTTTATTACATTGTACATGTAGGTTATTTTTGATCATGTAAATGTTTTGCTGAAATACATTTTCGTTACAGACTTCCTGGCCTAAGCGCCACTTTCCTGTGACACCTCGATTCAACTAGTTATTTCCTTTTGTAAATTATAACAAATTTCCTTGTTTAAGGTAAAGTGGGTAATTTCCACACATGTGTTCATACATGTACTTCTGTCCGAAATTGGGGCAGAGGTTTGACGTCATCTACTTACATTGTGTAAAAGGTATTTAACCATTCTTTGATATGCCCAGTGGTATTCGTAACAAAATTTATCATTTTTGTTATCAGCATTACTGAAACTCCTGTTACATAACACACTCAATAAAGAAGATAACTTATGCACACATGAATGCATTATTATGGCCTGGGGAAATTGACAACATTGTTCACCATGCATTTAAATAAATATTTAATTAACTGACCAGAGGCCTAAAAAGTGCTGTGCATTAGAAGTATCAGTAGGCAAACAGTGAATGCTTTCAAGTTTTGAGATTCTTTCAGTTAATCAGTGGCCAGACAAATCATTGACTGTCCTAAAAATACATTCCAGTAAATATATTTAATGTTGTCTGCAATTTTGTGTTCTGTCTGAAAATTTAACGTGCAAAATACAACTAAACCTTCCAAAATATACCTCATACCATCGAGCAAGGCACAAATATGTATACATGTATATTCACAGTATTATGAATGACCATAGGCTATTTGTGCAGACCACTGAATCCGTGATATGAAATCAGCCAAGCAGCTTCACTACGTTGTACATGTACATATCCGCTGGATGTCACCTGGCTGCCATTAACATAACACGTACATGTGGCTGTCTTGCGGAGCATCTCCATTAGTTATCATAATACCCTCGCTTTTGTCCTTGCCAGCTGTGCCAGGCAAATTGGAAGGGCTTTTATGAATCAGCGATTAATTTCATGCACAGTTCTCGTCCCCCGCTTAATTAATCAGGCCATGAACGATACCGGTACGGTATACGTCTCAGGCTTGTTAAAATTGATGCATTCTTTCTCACTCATTCATTGAATTGTACAGATATTTTTAGTAGTTTTTGAAAAATTAAATTTGCAAAGAAGTGAAGAATTTGCTACGATATTTTAGAAAAAAATTGTCACGTTGAGCTTCACTAGCATTCCAGGGTAGTGATCTGTATGTACTTTATATTTGTTTCTTTTTTACCCTAAATATCATTTTCCACATTGATTGATTTCTTTTTATTACCCTAAAAAGCATCTTCTGCATTGATTAGAAAAATATAATTTCATTCAGTAGGCCTATTTCTGCTGTTATACATACACCAGGCTAATTACTCAATTAGCCTATATCTACCGGTATACGCATGTTATTTACATGTGTATATCTGCCCCATTCCAAAGTGCATCAAGATATAAAGTAAAGACGAACAAGAATAATCTATCTGCACTAGACCCATGCATTGTGATTATATCAACTTTGTACCTCACCAAACTTAACTTGAAAAGCGCTTTGAAGATACGAGTGCACTGTCAATAGAGTCCATTGTGTGGAGGTGCTGAGCCTAGCGTAAGGCTGCCATGAGTTTTTTTGTGGAAACAAAAATAGACTTTTACCCTTTGACATTGAATGAGCGTTCGTTTTTATGTACTGCAGACTATGGATTTTTTAATTTGGAGTATGCAATATTCAGTTTCCTTTTTACGACCTGTATCATTGATTTTTAATAGCCAGGCTGCAGTGAAGAAAAGTGACAAACCAACAGAAAACAAACTTTTTTGAAATGGTTATAATTTCCAGTGTTTGCTAATTTGTAAATGATCTGGAGAAGTCTCTGGTTTGTCAACAGATTATGAGCACACATGGTAGTACAGGGGTCGTTTCACTGTATCACTGCTCGTACATGTACACTAGCTTCCATGTTTGACCTTATGAACTGTGTTTTTGTGCTATCTCATTGGTTTGCCACGTACTTGATAATGTCGTTGAATATGATATCACTTCTATGTACCTTTGAGGTTATTGTATTTTATGTTTTTTTTTGTTGATACACAGTATGTAATACCCTTTTGTGCGTTTCCTTGGTCACACAGACAAAATGAATGGCACTCTGGAAACAGGTGCAATATCAACCACTTAACAGTTACTTTGTACACTGAACTGGGATGCCCATGCACCTGTGCAGTCATGTAATTTATGCACCAGTAGGCCTATTCATCACCAAGAATTTACATAGTTCTTCTTCATGAAGAAAGCCCAGAGGAATATGAACCTCAATGAAAAGGAAATTTGTAATGCAACATACATGAACACATGGTTTTTACATAATGTGAACATGGTATGCGTGTAATTTATTATAATCTCAAAGAATTTTGAGGTTAAAAATAGATGTATTAAAAATAACAGTCATTGATGAAGTCTGTAGTTTATCCCCTCATATTTTATTTTTGCTGAAATTATTGGAAAATTAATACAGAAAATTGATGGAAATAATTCCAAATCTGAATTTTGTTCTTTTCTGTAGTGTTTAATGTGATGAAAGCCTCAAAAAAAAAAATCTCATTATGTAGGGATACGTTAATAGTTAAACACAACGCAGTCCTCATTACTATTCATGTTAGTTGCCAACCATCAAGAACTGTATCCGTTCTTGCCTTTCCAGTTGAAACGATTGCCACATATTATACTGTGCGTAAACACTAAGGTGTGGGATGCTGCTGTACGGAGTGCAATCAATATGCAACCCACATTGCGCCGTAATTATGAGCCTAGAATTAACCCGCGCTGAAAGGCCTGCCATTGACGTCATTCCGTGGCTATGGAAAACAGACATCCCTTACAGCTGGGCTTGTCTGCAAGCTACATGTATATTAAGAAGTGATTTTGCAATTTCTTAAAATCTTATAATTTAGCCGTACAATTTTTTTTATGGCTATTTACAACACACATCTACATGTAAATGTGAAAAAACATCATAAAGATTGCTTCTCGTAATCGCAGCGCAGAATTAAATACCATCTTCCATAGTCTTTTTGGAAATACGTTATTCAAGCCGAATTGTTGTGTATCTTGTCAAAATGAGATTGTTGAATAAAAGTGGAAGGCTTGATGTTTGAAATATTTTGGAACAGAGTCTTCACACAAGTCTTTTTCACGTTGTATTGATTATTTATTGAAGAATAAACTGATTAAATTCACAACTCTTTCATGTACCGGTACATGTATGTATGTGTACAGATAGTAGTACCAGGGATAGTAGTACTGTGCATTAACATGTCATTTATATCCAGACAATTTCATCGTGAAGTGCAGTGTAATGTATGTACAAATTAATTCACATTTTTTTCACTCATGCATACATGTACCCGTATCTTGCTGTACGGTATGAATAGTTTCATGATCTTGCTAATGGTATGTGGAATGCCGAACATATTCTCTGGATGTGTGCATTGTGACAGTACAGTAGTTATAATGTTGTCGACCATTATCATCATGCAGTTTGCATTCTTAGGACACAGTAGTACTGTGTTAAGTAAAAAGATATATGAAAACAAAAATTCAACCTGTAAAACAATACAGAAACACTAAATAGGCAGACAGATGAACAAAACTCAGAAAATTCACAATCAAAGGTAAGGCATAAAGCTGTACCAGTGATTAGTATTCAATATTGAACCGCAGTACTGTGCCCAAGCTCATTATGCACAGCTTGCTCACATCCGTCGGTCCTAATGATAATTTGGTCTTTGTATTAAGTTATTAAGCAAGGTGTGGGAACCACGCATGGACTGGCATGCGATAACTTTTGAATATCACCAGCTGCTGATGCAGCATTCAGTACAATGTTACGTTCACAAGGTGTCGGGTCAAGTGATTTCCAAGGTCCTGTCTCCTGTTCACACCTCTGAAAATTGTTCTCACAGTGCTAATTGTTTTTTGATTTTTTTTCTTTTTTTGTGTGAAAAATTTAAAATATTCCAATTTAATTGCAAAAAATTGAAGAATCCTTAGCATGTTCTTAGGGCCATTCAAATTTGTCATGGTTTTTAAATAACATTTTTTTCCCAATTTTTTTGTGACCAACCACCCAATTTTTCGATTTAAAAATATTAACTTGCTATTTTGTACAATCCAAATACATGCGTGCCTAGTTCAGTGACGGTGTTGAAGCCGTGTGAAGGGGTTGAAAGAAACAAATTGAATCGGAACGTGTGCGAATGGTAACCAGCGAGTCCAAAGAGTTTTATATTCTTTTTAATTGAAAACTGAATTTTCCTTGACCCACCTACCCATATAATAAGTAAAAATTCAAATTAAAATTTTTCTCCATACATACATACAATGATTCAGCACGAGGCAAACAATTGCACTTACAATCCATACGTATACACTACATACAGAAAGAACTTGCGTGGAACTGTACTGTGACATGCCCACAAACAAAATCAACATAGGGGAACAGCTGGTCATTGTAATGTACCGTGATTAACATTTAGTTGCCAGGGAAATCCAATTGCGTACATGCTTGCGACAGCATAAATTGTAATTTCTTTTGCCACTTAGGGGCCCTACAATATCACTCCTACATGTACATATGCGAATGTCAAAGGCTTACAAATTACAGTACAGTAAATTAAACATTATTGAACTTCCTGAAATTCGAAGGCAATTTGTGACCACACATTAGATTTTAGATCTGGCAAAGAAACAGATAATTATATGGAGTTGATATATTTTTTTTATAAGTCCCTATAGTAGATAGTGCAATGTTCAAAGATACATATCAAATCAATATAAATTTTAAAAATGCTTCTTTCAGGAGTAAGATGTTGTCTTCTATACAAAGCAGATTTTTAATCATGCTACGGTTGTGCTTACTTTTCCAGCAAATATTTCATTCGTCAGCTAATAAATGCTATGTTTGATGTAAGATTGTACATTCGTTATTTTAGCAATTTACTCTAATTCATTTTAAATTCCTCAGCATTTCAACACGCCTCCTTCTGAACTGAAAGATATTGCAATTTATAGCTTAACCTGGAATTGTTGTCTTGTTTTTCTTTTCGCAGATGGATTGCTGGACGACGGTCGGCATGATCAGATCGTGCCCTCCCTCAGCTCGCCCGGTCATATTTCTCCCCGATCGAATCCAGACTACGGCATTGAGAGGTTCTCCAGAAAAGTGTTTGTGGGTGGCTTGCCGCCAGATATTGACGAAGGTGGGTTGCTGTCAGTTATAGCGTGGGCCGGGGCCGGAGATACGGTCGAATGGTCGTGAGCCGGGTATTTCATCGGGCAGCTCCAATTAACTAAAGATCCTTCTCTTTAAAGTACAGCTATTTGTAAAGAAATAACACACAAGAGGATAAATCAAAGGAGACTTTTAACGAAATTAACTCCTCTTCCATCCATACTTGCCTCGTGGAGAAACGCTGAACCCGCTGATCAAAATAGTGAAGAATAGTTTTCTTTTGTGTTTTCTTTTCATGTGGGAGGATCTGACATGTTGAGTGAATTCAGTAGTAACACAGATAAATTATATGAGTCTGAGGATTGCTGCTAAGTTTTATTTTTTTTCATCACTAACTCACAAAAGAGATTAATTTCACATGGTGTTTCCGCAAACTTACTTTGCTGTTGTCCTCACCATGCAAACTTTGCATTCTTATAAGGTAATTGATGTTAAAATGTCATAATTGCATTCAAACACATCACCCCGACGCAAATTCCTTCTTCTGAATAGTTGCATTCAAACACATTTGGGTTAATGCATTTCCTTTCTTATAAATTTGTGTGTTGACAGTTTTGTTTGCTGCAAAAAGATGTTCCATATGTTTCAAGCGATTGTGAATGTGGTCAGAATGATTTCCCTTTCAATCATTGTCGTCTCTCATCAATTTTAATGGATGTTTTCAAAGAAATGCACTCAATGTCATCGTGGAAGTATCAGCTTTGTCTGTCTTAACTTGCATCCGTGTCCTTCCCGCACTAAGTCCTCTCATCTCAGATTGTATTGATCTGGAGAGCTTTTTATATTAAGTAACGCTTGGCTGTGAAAGGTCAGGTTGATTGGATGTTGCCATACGGAATAGGACTATACATGTAGGCTGGGGCCGTGAATTATCGCTGGACAATGATGAACTACATCTTTTCATTCCGTATACAAGACCTTGATTTGGATAGTAAGTACATATATGCAGGCCAAAAATATACTGTGTGCTCTTCTGAATGTTGCTGGTACATGTACATGTACACATTATGTACATACGTGTACCAGCACATGTGACTTGATAAATAGTAGAACAGCATAAAGTTCAATGCATTGTACACGTACATAAGAGTTAGATTTTAACTTCATATGTTTGTACTTTAAAGAGACTATCTCATCATGACCTTTGTCTAAGAAGATCGGATTGTTTATTAAATTGTTTGCTTCTTTTGGGGAGGGGGAGGGATCGGGAAGATATCTGCATGTACGTTTTTGTTATCATGATAACAGTGTAAATCACAGATATGATTGAATTTTTTTTCTTTTCTTTTTATTTTTCAGAGGAGATTACAGCCAGTTTCCGGCGCTTTGGCAGTCTTGTAGTTGACTGGCCCCACAAAGCAGAAAGCAAGTCCTATTTCCCACCCAAAGGTACGGAACACAAAACAAAAAAAATCTCAGTGAAAAGAAGAATTCACTGTGATTCCTTCGCAGACCTATCCCATTACATATTCTCTATTTTCTCGGCAGTGTCTGGGAGCTTTTGACAGAGCTAGCGCTCGGTCGCGTAGAGGTGTCAAATAACATTGGGCCAACGGTGTACTGAACAAGGATGCCCCCCTCTTTCAAAGAATCCCGTCCCCGAGAAAGGAGTCACATTTTGTTTCTTGTTAACAAAACCACAAAAAAAACCCCAAAATTGAAGGGAGTCTGAGAAGTCTAAGAGCACTCGAGGGGTGTCAGAGTTCCAATCTGTAAAAATCCAGGGCGAGTTTTACAGACGTGTCGCATCCAGGCCATCTTGCGAGACGGTATCTTAAGTGATAGCCTAATGGGTCTTGTGATACCAAGAAGGCCCCCAAGATTACCTCAAAGGAAGCACGTGGATCTGATTGCAGGGTTTGAAGCACTGCCGTCAACCATGACCGTATTTAGTGCACACACGGAAACACGCAGTCTTGGAGATTTTTGCATGCTGGTGTGTCGTTAGCTATCTCAGGTTGTGATTTGAGCAGGGTCATTTGAGAAACAAGGTGCAGGCAGATTTCTCTAATGCATGTGCACTTTGAGACTTCCAAGATGTCTCTCATTATAGGGCACAAGAAAAAGAAGGCGGACGCCTGGTGCAACCATTCTAGACATGCCGGTACATGTACATGTACAATAATTTTCACGGCTGAGTATCTCATGCACTTTCAGAGTAACCCAATGCCCGAGACATTTTTGCTACAAATGTACATGTAGGTACCTGTAACTTTCCTGAATCCTTGAAAATGCTTCGAAACCTATTGCATGCTGTGTATTTAAACTTACAAATAAGCATCAAGCTTCATGTTAAGTAAAAGCTGGATTTGGTAGACCAGAGGAGGGTCCTTATACCATATCCGTTGAGAAAATGCAGAAAAGACAGAAATGTTGAACGCTTGCATGAACACAGCATTTGATAAATACTGTCAGTGTGGTGGAGGAGTGGACATGCTTAGGCCGAGTAAAAATGAAAAATGTTGTTTCTGGGCTTTTTAAAAATGAAAGAGACGGTCCTCACTTTCCCCCCGTTTTCTTCAAGATGGCCGATTTTCCAAGATGGCGGATGGATTCTTCCATTTTCTCGAATCTTTTGCTGATACAAAATTGTGTCCAAAGGAGCCGCCGCCCTTTCTACACAGCTACAATTTTGTTGGAAACAAGTTAAAAGAAAATACATTGTCAACATTTGCAAAATATAATGTATGAATTTAAAAACAAAAAATCAAAAGGAGGCGGGTAGGAAAAAGGAAGCGGGCGGGGATGAGATTTTTTAACTGGCCTTAAGTTTGCATGCATGACGTTCTGGACTTGACATGCTTTGCATTTCATCCCGATGATGTCTTGATAATGTTTGTCCCCCTAGGTTATGCATTCCTCCTGTTCCAAGACGAACGGTCTGTGCAGGCACTGATCGAGGCATGCATCAAGGAGGAAGACAAGCTCTATCTCTGCGTCTCCAGTCCGACCATTAAAGACAAACCCGTAAGTCACTCCTCGTTAAACAAGACGGAATTATAAACGGGTCTGGCAGCCTGGCTGCACGACTGCCTGAAGCCTTTCTGGCGAATGTTTTGGTCCGATGCCAGCTATACGCATCAGCATAGTCTACATGAACATCAAAAGGATCGAGAGATTATAACCATGGATTAATGGAACACTACATATTATTTCTATCTAAACAAAACAAAACGATGAAAGAAATCCAGCAAATATAATCTTCGACTTATTTTATATGCTGTCGGCAGATTTGGTATAATTAAGTACTGATAATTCATAAAGTGTTCACGGTTAATGACATTAAAGCCATTCTTATATCCTGTTGGGAACAAATTTATTGCCGAAGTTTTCTCTGTATTTAAAAAAAAAAAATTAAAGATGGGAATTGTAGTCGCATTCAGCTGGATGAGATTCCCAGCTGATCGCCCCAAAGCCAAATCCCTGGCCTGAACCTTACCCGGCCATGCATATTTCATGACCGGCCAACACCCACAATAATATGCGCGGGGGTTTGGGGCATCGACGAGTAGGCTCATTTGTCATTCCGGGAATGGAACACTTTGGATGAGATTCCCCATCTTTCTCTCCACCCCCCCCCCCCAACCAAACCGCAAACAGGCCCGAGAATGTTGACCTGTGAATATCTTATGCCTGTTTTTTTTTTTCGTTTTTTTCTTTTTAACGAATTGAGTGATTCATGCGGGATGTCTCCCATCAGTGCGTCTGATCAGGAGGAAACTCCAGTCAAAAATACACACACACACTGTGTGCCTGCACTTAATGTAGTATGTCTTGCAGGGAAGGATGGTAATTTGAAAAGGATATTCTCCATGAGAAAGCATGCCTCACCAGTTATTTTTACTCGGAATATATTTTTTATTAGTGTTAGTTTATCCTCCTTAAAAAAACTTCACGGTAATGCTGACAATACAGATAGTTTTGTTCACAAAGGTTCTGTGTATAACATTTTCTAAATGTATTTCAGGTTTTTTTTGTGTGGAGAAAAAACACCAAAACCACAGAATGAATTTTAACAGTTAAAATTATTAGATACAAATTCAGTAGTTAAAAAGTCATACTTTCGAATGCCTGTACAAATGCTTGTATACAATTACAATATGATTAAATGGAAAACAATCGCATTGTGCAGTTGCTACTTGCACCTGCAGTATATATTAGGCAAATCAGTTCGAGGAATTTGCAAAGTGTACGCCTAGATGATTAATGTTATTCACCAAATATCAGAATTATATCTTTGGATAGGTTGCTGACATTTTTTGTACATGTATGCATAATTTCACTCACTGTGCACTTCAAAATTGGTCATTGTATGAATATAAAATCACTGATATACATATCAGTGCAAACGTTTTTGGTTCACATGTACATGTTCAACCTTTGTAGAACCAGAGGTAAATTTTCATTAGCGCCATCTATTGACATCAATTTATTTTAAGATTCTGTAATTTTCCTTTTTTTTAAAAATTGGTTAGGTCCAAATTCGTCCCTGGAACCTTGCAGACAGCGACTTTGTTTTGGATGGTTCCCAGCCTCTGGACCCCAGGAAAACAATATTTGTAGGAGGCGTGCCCAGGCCCCTCCGAGCAAGTGAGTATAAAAGGGAGATCGTGAAATTTGTTTTTGTCTTCCACATGAAATTATATTAATTTGTAACTCCTGCCTGGGGCACATCTGTGCTGATCAAACTCTACCGTGTTTTGTGTGTTTCCAGCTGTGCAATTTATAAATAGACCGGCAGAGGAGAGACAGTAAAATGGAAGGGAAATTTGGCAACGTGACTCAGAATTTAAAAATATAAATTTCTGGGCCGGGTCAGCTGTTTCGGGAAAAGGAGTTGTCTCGCTAAAACTTGAACATCATGTCATGTCCAAACAATTCAGTGTCCTTTGTCTGGCTACAAACTTAAACATTATTTCATGTCCAAACATTCCAGTGTCCCTTGTCTCGCTACAAATATGAACATTATTTCATGTCCAAACATTCCAGCGTCCCTTGTCTCGCTACAAACTTGAACATCATTTCATGTCCAAATATTCCAGTGTCCCTTGTCTCGCTACAAACTTAGAACATCATTTCATGTCCAAACAATTCAGTGTCCTTTGTCTGGCTACAAACTGTAACATTATTTCATGTCCAAACATTCCAGCGTCCCTTGTCTCGCTACAAACTGTAACATTATTTCAATGTCCAAACATTCCAGTGTCCCTTGTCTCGCTACAAACTTGAACATCATTTCATGTCCAAACATTCTAATGTCCACCTCGGACAATCTTGATCAGGTGTTCATGTCTTTTTGCTCAGTCTGGCCGAACTGTTGGTCTGGGCTGGACATCGTGTCCCATTGCTGTCCCTGCGGTCCACTCCACAGTGCAGCCAGGCCAGCAGAGCGTGCCATTCTCCCCAACGGAATGGACATGGGCATGTGTGGAAGTCATAGGAAATCAATTACCCGTTTCCTTCCTCAATCCACCTGATACAGCTGTGGTCTTTCCCTTGATGGCCTGAGTCATTTGGCACTTTTTTGTTTGAGTAGGGGGTTCACCCGCACATCGCATAATGTGATTACGGCCCTGTCACGTCCGTTGAGAATTTGTGTCTGCGCTCGTTGCAGCTTGTGAAGTGCTGCCAATATTTCACTTGCCCAGCCTCATATCAGTGATGGTGCATAGTTTCATTTTTATGCATTAACCCAACTCCCACCCCCAAGAAAAGTAAAAAATAAAAAATAAAAAAATAATAAAAAAACCAACAAAAAAAACAAAAATACAAAACAAAGGCAGAACCTGCAAATGCTACATGTAATGCTAAGTGCTTCAAGTGGGTGCAATAAGCAAGGGGCTAGGACAAAACTAATCAGTGAAAACCTCTAAAGATGTTGTTTTGACATGAAAGATGCCCCTTGAGAAATGTACACTGAGCATCTCGAGATGCTTGGCTTGTTAGAAATTCTACTCACAAGGACTGCTGGCCTCGATGCAGTGAAAAAAAACAACTCATTAAAGGATTTCTGCAAGATTTTTTGCTTATTTTCCCGCTTTGTTTGCACTGGAGAAGTGATTTGGTTTTTGGAAAGTATGGTGCATTGAAATTCTTAAGACTGATCTGTGTGACACATGACATTTTTCAAATAAATAATATGAATTTGACAGTGAGAAACCTGCTGAATGACATCTCCACGGCTTTCTCAACTTATTCAGTGTAAATTATATGTACGTGTATATAAAAAGTTGTTTGCAAAATTGTAAAGGATTTCAAATAATTTATACTTTTTCTTGTTAGGGGATTGGGAAGGTTAGTTTATATGTTGACAAATTTGTCTTTATTCTTTCTGTAATTTAGACATTAAGCACATATAATATTTAGAAGTAACAAAATATGTGAAAAAGAATTTCATAGAGATTGGTCGGCCTCTTGTTTGATGATAAGTAATAGATGTCAAGCATAACGGGAAACATATCTGTAAAACCTTGCCTGTTGATACTATACAATCACACAATTATTTTAGTCTCAAGAATTGACAGTATAATGAGTTGATCACTGAAGACATTAATAAGAATGAAATGACGAAAGCTCCGTGTGTGGCTAATCCTAATAGAAAAATATTTATACATTTTAATCCCTCGATAGTCTTCACTCCAAGATTATGACTTTTTAACAGTCCAGAATTTGATCAATCATGTAAATTCCTAGACCCTTAAGCCAAACTGTTTGAACTCTTCAAGTTGTGTTGTTAACTTGCGTTAATTTCCTCCTCGCTTTAACATCTTCACTGGATTGTTTTTCTTCTTCTCTTTCCCCCAGTTGAGCTGGCCATGATCATGGATCGTCTGTACGGCGGGGTGTGCTACGCCGGCATCGACACAGATCCCGAGTTGAAATATCCCAAGGGCGCTGGCCGCGTGGCTTTCTCCAATCAGCAGAGCTACATTGCCGCCATCAGTGCTCGCTTCGTACAGCTCCAGCACGGCGATATTGACAAGAGGGTAAGTGCTCGCACTCGTGCAGATTTCCTTATTTTGTTTGTTTGTTTGTTTTTTTCTCTTTAGACTGATCTCTGGGCAGATTATTTACAATTTTCAGTATTTAGTGGAGTGATGCATGTTTAACATGTGTGGGTGTTGTTCATATTGTCACATTTGTCATGATAGCTAAGTGGCAATAAGTTTTATCATGCCAGAATTTTGAACTAGCAACCATTATCTGGCGACCAGCCGGCAGCCATTTGTAGTGCACTGCATCAGTGCACACAGTATGCATTCAGTATTTAACTGGCATGAAATCACCATACATGTCATCAAACACACACTCGCACAGACATGCGAATAGTACATTATTGATCATAAAATACAATGCCTTCCTTTCAATCCAGAAACGAATATGACAGACCCGTGTTTATATGCACAGAAACAAGCATTACACCTATTCTCCCTACAATTCGTGTGTTAATCATTTATAATGTGTGTGTTAATCATTTATAAAAAATAAGTATTCCATAGGTATTTACATCATTCATAAAATATCCGTCTTGAGAAAAATCATTTCTTGTCCGATTATACACATACCGGTATGTCTAGACTTTCAATGGAACCAAATTTAACATACATGTATACAATATAAAAAATCTAAATGTCTGTGTACGTGTATGTCAAACTGTAGACATTTTATTCTGACTACTCCTATGATGAGGATTTTGTGTGTGCATGCAGACACCAGCTTGCTTGCCAACGCAAACCTTGATCCCATTTGTTCCTCTGCACCATATGGACGTCGATGTTAATGCGCGCACACCGCCCACGCAGTATCTGCTTGCAATATATCACACTGCAGTGCCGCCCTAAGTAATTCATTGTGTTCATTTATACATGTACACTCTGCACTGTCGAAAATTTGCCATGAAGGTTGTAGAATTCCTACATGTACATTAATTGTGTCCTTTGACAATTCCTGACAATCGTGTGAGCTCACCTGCCGAAATTCAGTAAAATGTTTGCTATTATAAAATTGAGAATTTAAGATACAATATGACACAATAATGTAAGGACAACAGACAAACATTACGAATACAGTACAGTATGGTTACTTAGAATATGGGTAGAAAATGTTACAGTTACAGTTTATTATAATTTGTTTAAACTCAAGACAAAAAATATTAGGAGTAGTGTTTGAGTTCATTGCATTGCTGTGCGTGGTGTAATTAGATCTGAAACTTCACTGTGATATAGTTGTCTGCAGAATCGAATGATCCATATGGTTAAACAGTAGATATATGTGTAGACTGTTTCCATAGCTGAATATCACATTACGGGAGGCTGCCCCAGGGTATTTATGCAAAGGCTGTGGGTGAATTAATCCAGCGACTCTAGATTGCAATTACGTGGCTCTGTGCAAATTTATGAAAATTTTGTATCTGTGTCAGTTCACGAGAGATTAGTTCCATTCATCTAGCATTGTCTGTTACTTGTTCCCAATTTATAGTTTCTGAGGAATAGTTTCTTAATTTTCATTATTTTTTTTTGCACTGTCCACCGATCACTGCATTAGTACGTTATAGAGGGGTTTATTTAATATTTTTCTTGTCGGTACAGGTTGAGGTGAAACCGTACGTCCTCGACGATCAGATGTGCGACGAGTGCCAAGGGGTCCGCTGCGGCGGCAAGTTTGCCCCGTTCTTCTGCGCCAACGTGACCTGCCTTCAATACTACTGTGACTTCTGCTGGGCTGCCATCCACGCCCGGCCTGGACGTGAGTTCCACAAGCCCCTGGTCAAGGAAGGTGGGGACAGGCCCAGGTCCGTGCCGTTCCGCTGGTAAGTCACCCACAGGCCAGAAGGGGGAACCTCTCAAGTTGGAGTGCCGGGAAACAAAACAACAACCTTAAATGTCAACGAGCTTGAGGTAAAAATTAAAAAAAAAAAATGCCGGTTTGCATTGGTCTTACAAAAAAAAAAGTGTTTTTGTGTTTGTAGTGGAAATGTGTCTAAACCTTTAATTATTTCAAATGAACTATTTTTGTAATGTTATATTGTATTAGTTTGATTTCTGGTTCAGACAACTTTCCCCTATGTGGCACAAACTCATCATTTTCAGAACTCAGTGGAGAGCTGTCATTCTTTACAGCTTGAGGCTGCATTGTTTTCAAGAATAAGAAAACCGGGACGCGGTGAATGTACACGTGCATCGCCCATCTCTGTCGTTGGAGATCAAATGCAGATTTCAGAAAGACTTTGGCTTAGGAAATAGACATTGGATTCTTCTGCTGTGTCTTCTTTAAAAAAAAAATTAACATTTGATGTTCAACATGTTAGTGTTTGGTAGGAAAACGTTCATACATTGTAGGTTGAGAAACTTTGAATTATAACTCTTAAATTTGACCCGATGCCTGTGCCAAGCCCGTTGGTAAGCTTGCATTCAGTTTTCCAAGATTTTAACCTTAAATTTGATGCCAAAAAAAGAAAACATGTGTGCTGATAGTTCATGAAATATTGTTTGGATTTAACATTAACCTTGTTCTAACATTTGACACACAAAAAAACCAGATATGAAATACAACCACAGTCAAGACGTTGCCTTTGTTTAAAAAAAAATGGCGCATTTGTTTCAAAGAATAAGATTAGAAGTCAGTCTTCTTGTGGCTGAACTGAAAATTAGACTTCTTTCCGAGTCAGCTCTGCTCCTTTCGCACCGAAACAGTTTTCGTGCTCTTAGTATTTTTAAACAGTGACTCAGTGAAGAAAGAGTGGATTCAACACAGACAAATTGTGCCTGCTTATTAAAACGGAAGTTTCTAATATAGCTGAGCCACGTAAAAAAAAAATGCTCTCGTCGTGAAATTGTATGCACGTTTTCATACCGTTTTTCGGCATACGTACAGTACAATGTATATCCAGTTGTCTTTGTGATGCCAAACTATCTACAGATACGAAATGTGCTGTCAGTCTCTTTGAAACAGTTGTGTCCAGTATGTGGCCGTGCTTGCTTTTGATTAACAAATAGACAAAACTTGTAGTCACATATGTGTATAGACTTAGCAAGTCAGAGGGGTCGTTCGTGTGTAACGAACCCTTATAAAATCCACACAACAACAAAAAGAAAGAACAGTAGGCAATTAATGCTAACTCCAAGTTTAGACGATTACTCAACGTTAAGAGCGCCAAAGGAATCCTACTGTGCAATGAAGAATGCGACTCCCAAACTAACATGCATATGTTATGCAATCTGTGTCTATTAAACAAAAAAATGTGTGCTAAATAATAACAGCCAAATTGTGCACACAAAAAAATACGAACTGTACTAGATTTTTACATTTGTAGAGTTTCTAGTTTAATCTTCCACTTTTTCAGATTTTTATTGTTGAAATTACTGTGCGGTTATTGTACATGTATGAGTACTAGAGCAGTTTATATAAGCTGACGATATAAATGCTGGCGGTACAGAAGTATTTCAAGTGCTAATATAAAAATCAACTTGGCATGTGTGAACTTTATATTACATATTATTTTTTAGATTGAGCAAACGGGTCATTCATACACTTTTTTATACGAAGCAGTTTTTCTTCTTTTTTTTTTTTAATGGGAAACTAGTCTACCGTGGACAATCCCATAGGCGTGTCAAATTAGCACATGTGCAATGTTTTCTCATGTTTTTTTCGTGTGTTGCTGTGGTTTAAAAGCAATTGCTGCGGCAATCACCAAAAAAACATACATGTCCATTACATGTATATGTGACACTGAAATAACATCCGTTTTGTTAAATTTTGAATGGAAATTTTACGTTAAAAGTTGGTTTTTAACTTCACTGGTTTATATGAACCAGAATTTAATTTTAGAACCCGAGTCACATAATTTATGTGTAAACATCCGGATCTTATATTATGTATTTTTCCAATTTCTGAATTTCCTTCCACTATGTGTAGTAATTTCTACACACATTCTTAAATACTAGACATGTACCCTCTATTTATATCTTAAGTGCATGTATTTTTTTTGTTACCATTGCTGCAGAGGAGAATATTATTATGTAGAACCTGTATTCTGCTTGCAGATGTATTCACTAGATGTAAGTATTTGTGAACCCGGTTTTGAAGTAAAACCGACTGAAAAAAACAGAACCTTAATATGAATTGATGGCGATAGATTGGTTGGTAGTCTAACTAAATGGATGTGTTTGCTTTGTTGAATTCCAAGTAACAGTTAAGAAAACCGAAAAAAAATTGACTACTGTCCATACGACAAAATAGAGAAGAGAAAAACGTTGTTTGTGTAAGTGATAAATTATTATAAGATAATAGAAGAATTTTTTCAATCTCAATCAATTCACAGTACAGTATTTGTGCAAAGTTGCCTCTGTGTTTTGAATCGACCAAGTGTACATTGCTCATTTATTGCATATATTTCTTGTTAACTTATGAAGTCAATTCCTTTTAATTAACAAGAATTTCTCCACTGTTTTAGTCGGTAGAATTTTTTTCCCTTGTAATATGTACTGGACTATTTAACATTCATGACCTGTTGTTGTTGGAGAATTATTAACGTCATTAGACAGTGTATTTGTGATTGTTGAAAAAAAAAAAAAGCAGAGAATTTATGCATTCGTGTTTGTAAGTCGGTTTGCATAATAATCCTTGTGTCTTAAAATATTGGCTTTGATGGGCATTTGCCTAGTATTACTATACAGTTTTTCAATTTTCACCAAGCATTGAAATTTACCATTTATCCACACAAAATTTTTCCATTTGTAATTTATTTATGACGTATGAAAAAAAACAATTCTCAAAATGGTTGAGACCTAGAAAAGAGTTGAAGTGCATGTGTGACTGTAAAAACATAATGTGGGGAAACTTTTTAGATTTTTTGCTTTTGTATCTATTCTTAGAAGCGTTTTTAAAAAAGAAATGAAAAATATGAGCTTTATAAAAAAAAAAATCATATCGAAGGAGTTAATATTCATTTTGGCCCATTTCATACTTCTGGGTGCAGTATTTTTTACCGAGGATTATTACGAGAAAAAAAATGCCATGGATGCCATTTTCACTCTAGAATTTTTTATAAAAATAATAATTTTTTCATATTTACAGGTAATTAGTCATTCTTTGAAATCGTTTATGTGCCTGTTTAATATTCAGGCCAAGCTGTCCGCACAGATGTGCTATATTTTTGAGTTGCTGGGTTGGACAAACCCAAAAGCGGGATTTGATTCATTTTTTTTTTCATATGTGTTACCTGAAATTTGATAGTATGTTTTATAATTATTTATGAATTTCTTGGCAATCGGACTAATTCATAAAAATGTGGTCAGTTTTATTTTTTTGGTTATCATTATGGATATTAATGGTTGTTACTCTGCACTCTGTTTGGACACTGTTTGGACTTGACATGTTTTTATTTATTAATTTTTCTTTAATCACCCAAGACAAAGGAGTAGCTAGGTTTGAACGTAGATCTACTTCATACATGTAATATATGTTTTTTTAGTTGTTTTGTTTTGGTTTTTTTGGGGACAGATTTGTTATTGATTGGAATGACTTTGGGATTGTATTCCATTTTTATACCTTTTGTTTGCCCTACGTGTGGTTTTTTTTATTCAGCACCATTTTGGCATATTTGTGTTCCTTCCCCGATTTTTTATCAACTTTGGATTATTTTTTTTTTAGGGATGTTGTACTCGTACAGATACATGTAGATTCAGTCATGGTAGATTACTGTCAGATTAATGGTGCTACATTGTATATTATCAACAAAAAAAAGAGGATGTGCTTTGTGTGGATAAATTAGAAGATCATTAGTTGAATAAGGACTGTGGTTTGTGGATATGGAGTCCTGGACAGGGCTTTAAAAAAAAAAAAATCATTTTTTTCCTGTGCAATATTTAATTGATTTTTTTTGTTGGTGTAATCTGTATTCAATGCATGATGGCTCAATAGACAGATCGGTTGAAGCCTAACCCATCTGACTTTATTTTTTTAATTTTTCGTACAAACATTTTTAAACCAGTAGAATTACAAGGAGGAATTGTTGATCCTTTTGCTATTTTTTTTTTTTTTTTTTTTTTAGGTAGCTTTAAAATCAAAATACCTCAGCTCATGAGTTTGGAGTTTGGAACCAACAACCCCTGTAGTTTGTGGTTCGTAGACAAGAAAGAAAGTTTATTTTTCTGTTCAATTTCTAACTTAATTTATTATGCCTGTGCGATCCTATTTAAGTGCAAGGCACAGTTTGATTTTGTATTTATTTAGTTTCCCGTCTTGAGATCAGTTGTGTTCGTTTTAAGACTCTAAGAAACCATCACTGGGCCTTCGTTGCATCCTTGAAGAGCTAGAGTCTCTGCACTGCTTTACTGAATGTAGTTGCGCAGATTTTCAAAGATGTGAATCACAATCTTTATTAAAAACCAAAAAAAAAAATCAATCACATTTCTCTTATAACGTAGAAAATAGATATCCTCAATGTGAACTCGAATGCTTTGCCAACACAGTGTTCATCTATTGTTCTGACTGTTTAAAAAGTTAAAAAGTTTTACAAACTGCAAAAAAAAAATTCCCCTATTTGCGTCACGTTCAAACAACTCGTATGTGTTTTACAATTTGCCTGCATTTGTAAAAGAAAAAAAATATGACTGTTTAATTGCCAAAAATATAGCATTTTTGTATTTCAAAATTTGAAACGACACTTGTCATATTTATTGTGATTCGGATATTTGCAGTTTGTATAAATAAGTGATCTGACATGTTAGCACTTCTCGTGGGAGGGTACACATCGAGTGCATTATGTTATGCGCACATTTAAAAAAAAAATCTAACACAAAATTGTAGTACCCTTATGGGTTCCCCTCTGTATAATGACGCACACCTACCCTAAACGCTGTCAATCCATGCAAAAGATGTAATTTTGTGGGCTCTTAACTTCACCAAAGCACGTGTTAATTAGCAAAATGCTTCCTAGAGCCGTCAGTGCACAAAATGTGTCCAAACTTAACTTTGTTCATCCCCACAGACAGCACAGTTGCGGTGGTTGAAGTGCGTACAAAACAGCATGGAATCCCATGTCCTGTCGTATTGGTCTTACAGTCGTATCTTGAAAGTCACAGCGGTTTTCCTGTGGACCAAGTACTATTTGATGGGTACATTTTTTTTGTATGTCCCCTCCAACTTGATTAACAGTAATTATTTCACAGAGTGTTCACAATTCTTAATACAATGCAAAAAACTTGCTTGGCCTTTTGTGTTATTTATAAATCCCGTTTTTCCCTCCTTTATATACTGTTTGGTTGTTTTTTGGTAAATTGTTCTTTTTTAGACTTGATACAAGATGTGGTTTTAATCAAATTGATTATATTTTGAAGTGTTGTTTTCTAATGGATCATTGTTATTATGAAATAGAAATAAGCAATTGTATGTTTTTGGATGACCATATAGCTTGCCGCATCAGAGATGTAGCACCCAGTGTTTTGATTTTTGTTTTACTATATAAATTTTGTAGTAGTAATTTAAGAAAGAAAAAAGAAATGACAAAAAAAATCCTGATTTTTCCTCCAGCACAATCAAATTCAGTTTTGTAAAATTTAAGTGCATATTTATAGTAAAAAAATTGTAATAATCTAAATTTCGAGTGACAACTGAAATTTGTGATTATATAGGTGAAACGTAATATCTGTTGATGATTTTGTAGAATGAATTTGATAGGAAGGCTAAAATATTTGACTTGAACACAGACACACTTTGTACTTTTCCTTTTTTTAGAAACTGTTGATTACAACTTTTGTCACTATTGAATTTTGAAGAAAAAAACTTTGTTGAGCCATTTTTTGAAAAAAAAAAGCAGAGGCGTCATTTGTAACGTTTTAAAGTCCTTTTTGATCATTGTTATTTCGGTATTTTTTTTAAAGAATTGTTGCCACTGCATGCATTTTCCTGCATCTTTTTTTGGAAGTAGTTTGTATAAAGGACACTTTGTTGTGTTCATCATCAGTGCGACATTTGTATAGCCAGCTGTAAAACCTCTTCTTTTTCTCCCCTCGCATTTTGTATGAACAGAAGGCTTGTTTAAGATCACATTTTCAGTATATGAAAGTCATACCAAAGTTTCTATGTTTTAAAGGCACGTAAAGGACAAACAGTGCGTTCACTTTTCAATAAAAAAACACGGAGTTGAGTTTTTGGGCGGGACTTGTTAATATAATGCATTCCATATTTTTGTTTGGACATTATTTTTCATTTTTTGTCTATAAATTAATAGTTGAAACAAAAAAATTGTAAGAAAGATTTACATCAGAGTATAGTTTTCATTGATAATCTTTTTAAACATTTTTCTCAGCATTTTCTATGAAACATCTTAAGAAAAAAAATAATTGTCATATTTTGTGTGCTTATAAGAGTTCGTAATAGATCATAAAAACGCATGTATATCTTTTCAGTTACAGTGTACAGTTATTTTTGTCTATATATTTTATTGTTTCAGGAGTTGATAATTTTGACAAGGAAAAAAGTGAAGCCATTTTTCGTATGGTATTTTTAGGTATTTTTGTTTTTTGTTAATCTTCAGAACCCTTTCACATTTTTGAGCTCTTTGTGCGAACCTTAATAAAAATTGGTGAACAAAGAAGGGCGTAATCCATGTCTTTATTTGGTGTGGTATTTGTGTTCGGGGAGCGTCATATTTGGAGGGGGAGGGGGGGGGGCTTGGCTTTAAAAAAAAATCTGAAAATTGTCGAGAGTAGTTTGTATATCATGGGGGGGGGGGGGGGAGTTGGGAATAATGTTCCTCGATCCAAAATATGTTCCCAGGATAAAGTTGAAGCTGGTACACTTGTTTCCACCTCCCCCTCCCAGTAGGCACAACCACTGGTTCAGAGATTTTTGTCGAACTTTTACAACTCAAGTTTTGTATGATCTGGTTGAGTATTGCAAGTTACCTATGTCGTGAAAACTGTATTTTCATTGGCCTAGAACGATCACGTTTTAAGTTTATAAAAAGTCATGGCACACCTGTGACAAGGAGTACGCCATTTGAACGTACGGGTACGATACGAAATGCCTGTATCGTTGGTACCCACACTATTTTCCCATATTGTCACACATGAGTGGGAGCAGCGAACTAGCAGACGATATTATTCAGCGCCTCGCGCCCACGGCGCTATAAAGGGAGTTTGATTAAGCTGTTTCGAGCTCGGTACGTGACATACATGTGAGTTGACTTTCGATTGTCATGATTGTTGTGTTTACTGCTGTTTGTTTTCGTGTTTTCAAAGTCCAAAAAGAATCCAAGACAGAACAAAACAATTGTTGGCTGCTGTGATGTGGGATATGACGTTTTGAACACCCTCGGGGCGCATGGGCCTAATTCATGAGTTGGCCATTTTTGTCTAGTTCCCCGAATGTATTTCATTAAATGTTAACTGCTGAATGGGATGGCACCAGACTATTTATGCAGACATCTATTCATTTTTGTTTAAATTTGGATTTTAACATCAGGGAATGTTTAATTATAAATTTTAAATTATTTATTGAAGCAGACTGGAATTAGTTAGAAATTAACTTGCTTTCATTTCTCTTCGCAGGTTCCAAAAATTAAGATTTTGACCTCACTTTTATTTCAATATGGCCGACTCGTGAATAAGCCCCTAAGCACCCTCGGCTTCGCCTCCGCCCCTCAGGTGTTCAAAACGTCATATCCCAGCAGTCAACAATTGTTAAACAATACTGCATTTACATCAAAATAACTTCCAGCAATGCATTAAAATAAGAACCACCAACTATGAAAAAAAAATCTAAAAGTAACAAATATGTTGACAACTCCTCGTGGGGCATTTTGTTTTTCAATGGAACCTAGTAGTAATGTTTCTTCACTATGTTTCATTGGTGATTGTGTAGTGTAGGGCCCCTGTTTAGTTTCGAACAAATTAGAGTCGAGGGTGTTTTTTCATAACTAAAAAAATGACCTTTCCAACCTTAAGCAGACTTCTCTCCCTATATTGACACCTTTTGTGATATTTGAACAGTTCCTTGGGGTAGAAATTACGATTTTCCTACCTGGTTTATGGTTGGTGCCGTGCGAATCAGTACACCTTGCGCGCACTTTCACGGTACACATTGCGCGGTGATAGCCATCTTTATTTTCGTGTCGCATTTGGTTATCGTCATCGTCACTTTACCCCCAAATTTCCCTAAAAAATCAACACCCTGACCCTGCTCTTAATCTATGACATACCTGCATGTTCTTAATGTCGCCAACTAGTTTGGTTGGTCAAATAATTAAAAAGTGGATTTTGTTCCCTAAAAGGAAATGGACCCATAGATACACGATCACCGTTTCATTCAAGCCGGAAAGATTTCCATACACGAAGTTCACTCAACACCCTGTGTACAAACCCTATGAGATTGGACTGAAAAATTCTAAGTGTTTTCTAAGAAAATGCTTGTATTTTCTCACTGCTCAAATTGACTTTGATGACATGAAATTGCTATCTGGGGGCTTGTTAGTCAATACAGAGGAAAATTAGTGAACTTCGTATATGGAAATCTTTCCTTCAAGCCAACCCCCCCCCCCCCCATAACAAAAACCCAAAGAACTCAAAACCCAATATTGAAAACTCAACCCATATTTTTTCATTTTCAGCAGTTGTTTGCAAGTTATTTGCAAATTGTGTAATTAAATACCTATCATTATTGAAAGGAGAACAAATATTGAGTGTCCCATATCTACATGTAGCTGCACAATTTTTAACTAATTTTTGTATTGATTGCTCAAAATCTAAACGTTCTCAGATTTTGTAGGCATTAGTGGGAAAAGTACAGTGCTAAAATAAAATGGCCACTGTGATTTCTAAATGGCATAAAAATTGTCTGACTTTTAACGAGGGAAAACATCCATGTATATCACCATATCAGATGTTAGGCCTACACAAGATATTTTAAATAACTTTCACAATTTACAGCAAAAATGAGTATTTTCCATGGGAAGGGAATGCTAAAATAAGTCGACCCTTTAAGGTTTCTGAACAAAAAGGTCAACTTCACATGAGAGGGAGAACATATGTTTAGCTCATTAATGATCCGTTTTTGCACGTGCACCAAAAATAACCTATGTGCAACATAGGTCTACGTCACTGCAGTTCTGTAATATTTTTTAAGTGTTCCGGCGAAATGAGACAGAACTGGGCACAGGCCTCAGTGGAGAAAAATGCCAAAAAAAAAAACCACAGAAAACACAGAATGGGGGAGATTCTTTTCGATTTTCAGATTTGATACATCTATTTGTAATCTTTAATATGTCTTTTACAAATATTTTATGAGAAACAGTATAAATATCGTGGAATAAAAGTGTTTCAGGAAACACAACTAGCACCTTTCAGTTTCATGACTACAAACCATTCGCAACTTTAAAGGTCATTTTTCAGTATTTTACTTTATGTGACAAGTCTATAATCGGAACTTTAAACAGCCATAACTTGTCAACGAAATGCCCAAATGAATTTCAAAAACAGTATTGTAAGAAGAATTTTAGTCTCTTTCCTAATACCCACAAACCCTCACTTCGACCTCTGCCCAGTTCTGTCTCATTTTGCCAGAATGCCTAACATTTGGGAGTCTCAACAAGACAAGATAATAACGACTGGTGAAGTCACATTGACAACAATTTTCTTGTACAATGCACAAGTGTATTTGACATTTGATGGTGCAAAACTTGCATAAAATTATGAGGAAAATATGGACAAATATATATTTTTTAATAATGGCACTGCATATCACACTGTTCATCTTGTGTGAACTCTATTGTGACTTAACAATTGTTTTAAATTATTTAAGAAACCAAGAACTTTCCTTGGATCCCAATCCAATACCATTTTTCTAAATTGCAGTGTGTGTAGATGTTGCAAAATTTATTCAAAGAAAAAAAAATTGACTTAAAAAAACCAGTAATTTATGTACATGTACATAAACGTGTGTATAAAAATATTAAAGAAAACTGACCTTTGCATCAATCAATCTTTATAACAGAAAAATAAAGCTCTGTGTGTTTTTTCTTAGATTTTATGGCAATCCTCTTGAACAATGACAAATACCCAATATAGCATTATAATTACATCCGCACCAGAGTAGGGATAATATATCTTCGTCCTTGGCCACATCAATTGTGAAACGCAATATGACGGATTTCTGCACGGTTTGTCAGAGATTCAAATACGCATTCAAAATATAAGTGGGCAGACGTTCGTGTACACAGTCGGGCGTATACTGCAGTCATTAAAGTTTACTTAAATGCCAAATCTGGTGGAATTGAATTGCTGCAAATGAAATAAATTTAAAAAATAATATATACATTCAATAGGGACCCAAGCTGGCCATCAAAATGAGTTGGAAGCTACACTGTAGCTAAATTTTTAAATCTTGCACGATGGGAATCTATAAACAAGCAAAATTTGTCTTCGCATAATATCTGCATATTAATAACTCCAAATGACTGATATATCCAAAACAAAAAGTTAAGTATACTCTCTCAACTGCATAAAAACCATAAGTGAAAAAAAGTCATTAAAATTGATTTTATATGTTCCACTCACAATTGAAAATTGAGTTTAAAAAAATAATAAACATGTTGATATATTGATGACATTATCAAAATCCTTACTGAATATAGAGGGAAACATTTGATGTTTTTGTCAACTAATGGGGGTGGGTGGTTAATTCAAGAAAATTCACACTTTCAAATAAGACAGCCGTAAAGAATAACCTTTAAAATCTCAAATGCTTATTGCCACTTAATTTCCACATTGGATAACATCAAGGGTGTCTTTGGAATCGCTTGTAAAATTTTTCTCGTAACGTTTTTCACGACGAGCCCCTATTTGACCAACCTTTGTGGAAATGTCATTTTTTACCACTGTAAACCAATGTAAACCACTGCACCATATAAACACAGAAATGGAGGAAGGGCTACAGAAAGAGAAAGTTATATCTTCATCTAGTTCAATTTCATGTGGGTTTTCCTGTGTATCGTGTTTCACCGATATTCCTATGTGGCACAAATGGCACCCACATAACCTTTAGACGACATACACGTGCAGGGTTTCTATAGATACTCATTTTTGACGTGTTTTGCATGTTCAAAGGTACATGTATGTCATTCAAAACCTGCAAATGTCGGACACATATGGAATGCATCCTGATGTCCTGATGTGAGTACATGGGACTTATTCGCGAGTTGGCCATTTTTGTCGAGTTCCCTGAATGCATTTCATTAATTGTGAACTGCTGAATGGGATGGCGCCAGACTATTTATGCAGGCACAATGCAGCCTTATTTTACTGTCATTTTTTTTTGGGGGGGGGGCGGAATATGGCTTTAAACATTCGGGTAATTATTTATTGAGGCAGACTGGAATTGATTATAAATTAAGTTGCTTTCATTTCTCTTCGCAAGTTAACAAAAATTAAGACTTTACCCAACTTTCAATTCAATATGGCCGACTCGTGAATAAGGCCCATACAACAAATAAGAAAAACAAATGGTTAAAAAAACCAAGAATTTATTCTTAACCCATTTTTAAAGCCTTTCTATTTGGAACCCTTGTCGGAAAAACTGAAATCTTTCCTCCTTAATTTCCAAGTCGCTACGGTTGCCTACATACATGATTTACACCCACGGTTAGGTCCGGAGGCGCCCTGCACATAATTCTTACCCTTTTTCGAAGGAGGCGGGCAAGAAGTCTAACCCCCTGACATTTTCATGATTACATTCAGCAATTTAATTTACGGTCTAAATTCTCAGAAATTTTCGGTCGCATGTTTCCGTCTGCCGAGTCGAGAGGTCTCTACATTTCGCACACCCACAAAATCCACCGTTACAGTGACAACTCGGCACCATATGTTTGCCGACCGTTCGGGGTCTGCCCCAGTAAGCCATTAAACCTTTTTGGCTTGTTATTAAGACTGGCCTATTTTGCAAGGCTTCATGTTGCTTGTAGGACTCTATTTATGGCAGAGAACGCGTCATATTTGGATCAATCCTCAGGAGGAGGGGGATGTTGGGCTTCATTATTTGTAGTACAGGTTGGAAGCTGTGATTCTGAAAAAAGAAAAATAACAAAAACATCTCATTAGTATATCAGAAAACTGATTAAAGTCAATGATTGTTTTTGGTCTGGTGGGAGGGGGGGGGGGGAAGATACCCATATCTGGCCATCACAAATTTTTCCCTTCAGAGGCGTATCAGCCATCAGAAAGTGATAATATGTCCTAAAAAGTCGAATTTAGCCGGGAAAATGTTGAAGCATTTACTGTCAAAACACTTAGAAAGTTTCAGACCAGTCTCATAGGGTTTGTGCACAGGGTTACAAGTGATGGCCAGATATATGGGAATCTTTCCAAACGGGGGCCAAGTTCCAGGCACTGTCATTTTCCAATAGAAATTTAATAAATATATGGGTAAAATTTGATTAGGGGGTGGGGAACAAAGGCACATTAACCTCTTGAACCCCCTCCCCCCCCCCCCCCTCCCCCCCCAGCCCATGGTATCAGGCTGGAGACTGATGTATGACCTTTGCAAAGGCCCAGCACCAATTTGATAGGAGGGGGTGTCAGTCACTGAAGTTAATGACAACGTAATGGAGGTAACGTGCCGTTAAATGTGTAAATGTGCACTCAGTGATGCAAAACCACATGGCCGCTAGCAATTTTGCGACCTTATTAAAAGGGGCTCTCAGTGTGGGAGGATGCATTTATTTTGCTGCCCACGCTTCTTTACTTGAGTTAAGTTTCACAATTGTTGGCAATGAGTTTTGCACTTCAAAGTGCACAGCTCGTGAAATATATTCAGCGCAAGTTCAATGAAAACTAGCTTCTGAGTTTGATTGACATTTAAAAAGGCAATTTAAAATGTCTTGCATGAAGAAAAGGACAAATTTACAAGAATTGTCTTTTTTTTTTCAAGCTTCTTCATGGAGAGGTCAAAGTGTCCATAATTCAAATCAGAAAAAAAAATCTGAAATTTGAAACAGAATTCATTTGTGACAATGGAAAGTTCTTAAGTATTTAAAATGTCAATGCCCTCACCAAAATTTTCCTTAAAATTTACGAGTTGATATTTTGAAAAAGAAAGTATGGAATAATTCATATAAAAGGCAAGAGAATATGATTAGTAGATTTAGTACATATTGATGATTCACAGCATTAATCGTGTATAAAGTTTTCTGCTTTTCCCCCCAACTTTTTCTCCATTTCAGATAATTTGACTTATTTTTGCCCAGACCTAGAAACAATCTATTATTTCAAGCAAGAATGCTATTCGCTTCTTTTTCTTCAAACACCAACTCTTATACAGATGAAACAAATTAAATTGGAATATCACTCAGATCGCAGACTTTACAACAACAAAAAGTCACCAGTCTTGATGGACGACGGGTCAAATTAACCTCAATGCCCTGTGACAATCAAATCAGGCCTCACAATGCACCACAGTTGACATTTCTACGCTGCGATAATTGAAAATCCCTTGGGGACCAAATGTAAAAAGGTTTCGGACTGTACATCGACTTCTTAACATCGGCAGGGGATGGGGAAAGTTTACCCAAAGCAACAGAACCCAACTTGTGCTATTGAGATTAATTTCAAGCAATGTTTAAAAAGGTAATTTTCAACATTTGCTTTTGCTGTAATTTTCAGAAATCGATAGATTTAGGGGTTAGGTGTTTTATAGCATTAGCAGATGTTGTTGCACTGTTCTGTTTAGAGTTTTGTGTTCATGGATGCTGCAAAAATCAAGAAAAAATGCTTTTCTTGTAGTTTGGTTCCCTGACCATACTTCAGACGAAACGAAACAATCTATAGACATTGGGGAATTGTAATGTTAGGGATACAGACTAGCTGGCTTGCACCCGTTCACAGATGTGGAACCGATTGTTAACAAAATGCGGACTAAGTAAATTTGGTAAACTGGGGACAGCATTTGAAATGAAAGTCTTTTTTTTTCCAACGATAGTCGGCCAACCATCGTTGGAAATGGATACCAAAATTCACCTTTTCGTGAAAATGACAGCACACCATGTGCATGATTTTCACAGGATGCTTGAGACTGTGTAAAGTAAGGTGTTTCATAATAATTTGGTGGTTTTGTTTTGTGGTGTTTACAAATGTTGTTATTGCCTTTTAAGTGGGAAAGTCAAGGATGATTCAATGTGATTGGAACTGATTGTCTTGCTGCAGTAAGTTACTAATGTCCTTGCTACCATCGCTGGTGACCTCTGTTCCAAGTGCACATATTCCTATTCCTAACCCTAACCCTAACATAATCTTATGTGCCGGTTGTCGGAACATAGGAGTGTTGGAACATAGAGCAGTCACCGGTGACTTGTACCCCGGTTCGATTCCAACCAGGACCAATAGATGGAGTTTCCTCTCACCTTAATGCCAGGGTTTTTCCCCTGTTAAATTGATTCCTGAGGTGTTCTGCCAAACCACAAAACTGACGTTTTCATTCTAGTCTCTTCTTTCAAACTGATGAATGGTTTTAAGAAGAGTACAAAAATATTTCTGATTTTTAAAAAAATGTTCCTTGATTATTTTTTTGCATTCTGACAGTGGCAGTGTACATGAATAATTGCAAATGTACATTGTGCCGATTCACAAATTAAAATAAAGTCCACACAAACAACAGGAATATTTCCTGGTCTAAAGACAGGAATTCAAACATGAAAAATTTCCCAGTGAGAACTATAAAAAATGGAAAGGGCTAACACTATAAGCAGCTGCTTTCAGCCAGAAAGAACTATGCACAGATAAGGCTGGGATCAAAATATATATTCACTTAATATTAATTTTTAATATCCAAGGAAAAGTATTGACAACAAACCGAAGCACTCCGGTATCAATAATTACAGTTACTGTACATGATCTTATCAATAAAATATCAATCTGATATCCATAATTAATCGCTAATGGGTTTACAACAGCTGTGCTCGACGAAGTCTCGGGTCCATGCCAGGTATAAAAATAACTCGACATTTCTGAATTCAATACAAAGTACAGACTCTTGCCCTACTCCCCTACCCCCCCCCCCCCTAACAAAAACAAAAAATTGGAAATGAGTGTACAGCTATGTTGTGAACACTGTGTACTTGTGAAAGTAAACTTTTGAGGGGATTTTTGTTTTGTGTTGCAGTAGTGCAAGTGGATTTTCAATAAACTTCAAGCTGAAATAGAAGAAAATTCCTATAATTTTGGTTAAATGCACTCAATCAATGAAGAATCTATACAAACAAATATTTACTGCTTTTTCAGTCACGCAACTTGAAAGTGACAAAAAGGTGAAATTCCAAGCTGTTCAAATAGTTTCTTTTGGCATACATGTACTGACTTTTTGAACAGTTTACTGTTCAAAAAGTCTCTGTAGGCATGTACAAATGTAGCAAGGTAATTTTGATCGGGGGGGGGGGGGGGGGGGGAGATGTAAAAAAGGGCACTTTGAGTGTCCTTAAATCATCCTTGCTAAAAAGTACACAAAGGTACACAAATTTACATAGACAAACTAGCCTCCTGATCCGTAGAAAATACTTTTTTCCCTTGACCACAGTGAAAATATAAAACATTCCACTATAACACCTCTGGAGGCCTTTGTTTCTGTACCACTCGTAGCAGTCAATATTTGCATATGCCGGATGCAACATGTGTGTTCCAACTTCACTTCCGGCACCGAGTGACGTCAGACTTCAGTGTGATACTGATTAATACAATAACGAAGCAGATGGTACTTGCATGTATGTAGTATGCATAAAATGGGTGTTCATGCCGTATATTATAAGATTTACATTCAAATTAGGTTTTGCCATTCACCTACATTTAAGTCACATTTGCCGCAAAGATTTACATTACAATCTATAAAAGCAGCTACGTACATCTAAATATGAACTCAACAGAAACTTTGAAATAGAATGCCATGGCCAAAAAAAAAAAAAAAAAAGTAGACATTTAGGGTTGGTTTCAGTGATGTCGTGATTTAAGACTGGTTGGAGTCTGGATGCTGATACTCCAACCGATCTTAAACATTGTGTTAAAAACCGGCCCAGGACACATTTATTCCCTTATTTCAATAATTTTTTTTTACAAGTTAAAACACAGCTTTTTGAAATGGACTGTGATTTCAGGCTGTAGTGCCCCTTTAACATATGACCTAGAACGTAATTTTGCCATTATTTACATGTATAAAAATAGACTGCAAACAAAGCTGGGCTCAGTACAGTCGATAGCTACGTAAATTAAGCAATATATGTTTGCATTCCCATGTTGCCATGTCAATGTTTACTAGGAAGTTGACAATAATAAACACGTTACAAACCTGTAAAGAAAATTTCGATTTCCTGTTACAAGGGTAAATTTTGAACAACTTTTGACATGTATGGATGTTTCTGTGTGATTTTTTTTTTTAAACAGCAGATGATGGCTAGTCTCTGACGTCTGATTGGATAGCGTGTAGTTCAAAATAGCCCTTTGACAGTAGTGGTAAAACCACATTGGTGATGATTTATAAAAAGAGGCCCAAAAAAAAAACCACCACCCACCAACCCCCCCCCCCAAAAAAAAATTAGAAAAACAATCAATTTTTTTGTGTGGCAAATGTGACATTCATACAGAACCCAAAGGCTTCAACAGAAAATTGACTGGTCCCCTCACAACAGTTGGGACCAGTGAGTGTTGTTACGGCAATTTGTATTGGCCCTAGCTCACGCGTGTGCGTCAATACCTCAATTCTATTTTTAGAGTTCCATACGCTTACATTCTTATTGTGCATGCCATCCATCTTTATATTAAAAAAGCGATTAGTACGATAATCTCCTCATGTATCACAATGCAGCTAATCTGTGTGCTTCCGGCTTTTTGCCCGCGAGGCACGCCATATGGCGGGCCTTCTTACATTGCATCCGGATCAGTTTAATATTACTGAACCATGTACATGTAACAATTCAAATTATTCAAGGTGTTCTCCAACGAATATCTCTTAAACTTACAACTTTTCTATCATTGTTATCAGCATTTATTAATTTAATATGGTCAGTTAAATTGAGCTCTAGGCTG